ACATACAAAATGGAGAATGAAATCTTGTTCATCAAATTGAAAATGTACTAATGAAAACTTCAGGAATTTTGTCCCAGTCACACCCTTTTCAAGTTGTTTTTGGAAATTAAACATTTGGGAGGGGGGTGAAATTAGCAACATTGTTTTGGAAAATGTTAGCAGCAATTTATACCTGAAAGTGAAAAGGTGCTTTGGGAAATTTATTGACACAGATGTGATACCTATCTTTCCTTTTTAGCATTTAAAAACAACCCCTGATCTGAATAATTTGTTCCTACAAGAGTTGTTTCTCCTATTTGGTTGGGAGTTGCTTTCAAAAGTAAATCTGAAGCTGATGCTTTACATAAACAAATATAAGTTCTATGTCATCAGTGATCCCCTACTAGGAAGTGCATGGATTGGAAACTAGATAAGGAAATGTAATATAGGACACAGTTTGCTATAAGTCTTTGTTGAAATACATTTAGAATAAACTTCACACTGATTCCTAAAATCAGAAGTTGGAACTGACTTAGCTATTCCACTAATACAGGGAAACAAATATACTTAAATGTATTGAGGCATATTAAAAAAATATTTTCGTTGTTGGATTCATGTATATTTACTTATTTATTTATTTGCAGCACGGCAATAGCCAACAGCACTGAAACAGCCATAACTTTCCTGTATTTCATTTCCTCAGGAGTCATGGGTCCTGTTACTTGTACACATTTTGTAAATTATCCCATTTGAGGTACCATGGCTCAAAAATGGCTGTCCTATGATGTACCATTTTACTCACATAAGAAGCCTAACAATGAGAGCTCTAGTAGTATATAAACTGCAACTATTTATTGCTACAATGATACATAAAAACAAAAATGTTTTTAATTTTTGTACCCTTTTAACTTTTTTAAAAAGTACTTTCTATGTATGTGTTTTCTCTTGGACAATGTATGTATTTCTATCATAATTATCATACAGTTTTGTTTATTTTTATTATTTTAAAAGCAAAAAAAAAAAAAGGGAAAAATAGAGAATACCGTAATTCATGACACAACCGAAATGCAAAGAAAGATCCTTTCAGTTCAAAACGGACTCTGCGGCAGAGAATGATAGGTAAATCCTAAGGAATAGGATGCAAAAAAAGTTTGCAATTGTCAGCTGTTCTATTAGCCATGATGTCTGGCAATACAGAATTCCCTGGATGTGTTGTGTAAGGAACTCCAATAAGTCTCTGGATCAAGTTGCACCTTTGGCTAAACATCAGAGAGTACTAGGATTTAAGTGACTGTGAAGTGAATAGTTACAGCCATTAATGTGAGCACAGCAATCAATGCAAGGCATGGGGAAATAGATTAAAAGGATTAGAAAGACATGCAGAATAACGGACAGGACTTCAGGAATCAGCTTTCTTTTTTAGATTGTTCAGCTGATCTGAGAATTTATATGCCTTTATTTCTTTGCTTTTATTTGAAAAACTCAGATTATGCTTTTAATTTTTGGTGGTTCACCTCCATATTTTAGCAGTCAGATCTCCGGCAACAACAACAAAATTATTAAGAAATTACAATGGTTGCTGTCTATAGGCTATACATTGTCTATCTATGGACTGAGGCCAATCCCTTGTGCAAAGAATACTATGCAGATTATTAAACTAGGAATTGAGAAAATCATAGTTTGTAGAAACTAGGAGGGGAGTCTCTGGTGGCAGAAAATCTGGAGTCTTGTAGCATCTTTCCCAACCAAGAAAATTTATTAAAATGTAGTATTTAATTTGAAGAAACATCTGATGAAGTCAGCAGAAGTTCACAGCAGCATAAATTTTAACAAAATTCATTATTCCAAAAAGGTGCTACCAAACTTCTGATCTTTGGCCAGTTGTGGGTGCATTATAGTTGAAGAAGAATGTATAATTTATGGATGAAGCAAGGATTCAGCTATGGGATGAAATAGGAAAAACAGCATGCTAAACTCAAATTCATTTTTGCTATATTTTGCGCTATTTAATTCTGGAAATAATAGCAAGTAAGTGAACCATAGATGAATGATATGTCAGACTCAGACATTTGATTTTGCATTTATATATGATAAATTACATTAATTTTACTGAAGTCACGGCTAAACTCAGCAAATTATTTTTGTTTTAATGGAAGCATCATCCATAGAGGAAATAATTTCACTAGAGATATTATATACCAAATAAATCTAAAATGTTCCTGCTTCTGTATTAATGTCTACTTTTGTTTTCTTGGCATAATTTGACATAATTTGGTTTTACTTCTTTAGTTTGTTTGTATTTCTAATTTCACTTTCACTTTATCACTTTATTGTTTCTTTACTTCTTTACTTGTTATTAGTTAAGTATTTATATGCTGTATCAACTACAACGTATTTACATTTCACTTAGTCTTTTACTATGCTCTTCCACATTTTGTAGTCTATCTCTCCAACTTGTAGAAAGTTGTTCAAGAGGGGGTGTATAATATACAATGTCACTTTCTTGTCCATCTATTTTTAGTGCATACAATAAGAAATTTGCAGTGTATGTATTATTTCAGAGAATGAACAACATGATTTTGAAGCATAAATCTTCCACAAATATTGGAAACTAACTGGTGCATTTTGGATTCCATCACGCTCCAATATGTGCCAATGTGCAAAAAGACACAGTAGCAGCTAGATCATCCAGATTTTACATGATTCCAGAATCCACTGTTTTTCATCCAATTTTGGATAGTTGTAGATGCCAGTCCAAGAACTTGTGTTTCCCATCATTTCTTTTTCATTAGGAATAACCTAATGATTTTTCCTGACTTGCAAAGTTTATTAATGAAAGTTTTGTGCTAAATAATTTATAATAAATAATAACTGAACCAGAAGTACCTTATCCGGTACATGGGATGCCCCTTGGGCAGCTCCTCTTCCTGGTCGCGGCCCTGATGAGTGCGTGTGAAGTGTTCCCTTTTTGGCACTCAGTGCTGAAAAGGTTTGCCATCACTGAAGTAGTAGGTTATGGTGTACTTTATCAAATGCCTCACTGAAGTCCAAGTAAATTATATTAACAGCATTCCTCTGTGGATGTATTTTGGGATTATGTTCCTACTTTTTCTGCTGCTGAACCAAACATATAGTCTTCCTTGTAATGATGTGTGGGAATGACCATGGGAGGCAGAAAGAGAGCTGCAAACCAGCATGTAAAAGTTGTCTCAGCCCACCACCGAAGGGAAATGTTTCAGAAGGGACCTTTCCTATTTTTCTCAAGAGTAAAAGGAAGTGGATGGGGGGGGGAATGATTTTTTTCAGTCTTGCAAGATTCTCTTAATACATTATATAATCTTACAATAAAGACAGCTAGCATTCCTGGTTGTGCTTCTTGTCGGGACTGTCTCACAGGTCTAACATTTCCACCTATTCAAAAAGAGGCCAAACAAAAATAGAACTGAAAGTGCTTCTTACGTGCATTTGTTATCATTCTCTTCCTTTGATCAGAAGTTTGGGTTTTTGTTTTGGGAGGGGGGGATATTGGAAGAAATTGACTTGTGGCTATAAGGGTGGGATGGAGACAAATATCATTTAGGAAAACTCCCTGGGTTTTCTAATCTAATACAGAAAGAAAGGATTAAGTATCTTCCTGCCAATTATGGTTGCATTTGCTTTTAATTTGTTCTCTTGCATTAATGGCTTTCTTCTAGTGGAGCTAATCCATATGTTCAGAATTTCTATTTCTTTGCAATGAGATACTTATTTCACTTTTATGAGCTCATTCTCACTAATTTCATTAGTATACTTCTCATAGTGCATTTGATCACAGCTTGGTTATGTATGAAAAAAGATATGAACTGACTAAACAAGAGTGTTGAAATGACTTCATGACGTATGCAGATCTTCTCCGAAGCACAATCAGTTGCAGATGGTAAATGTATTTTTTCCTAATTGAATGAAATAGTGTTACATATATATATATATACTGCTCAAAAAAATAAAAGGAACACAAGCAGAAGACATCGGAGATCTGAATGAATGAAATAGCCTTATTAAATACTTTGTTCTTTACATACAGCTCAAACAATTAAAGGGAACACAAAACTACTGTATGTAATGAACAAAGTGTTTAATACGGCTATTTCATTCATTCGGATCTTGGATGTCTTCTGCTTGTGTTCCCTTTATTTTTTTGAGCAGTGTACATACATACATACATATATACATACATACATACATACATACATACATAATTTTCAGATTATAGAAGATTATAATCATCTTTATAAACATCTTTTAAGAAGATTATAAACATCTTTTAAGAAGACGTTGGATAACCATTTGTCTGAAGTGGTGTAGGGTTTCCTGCCTAAGCAGGGGGTTGGACTAGAAGACCTCCAAGGTCCCTTCCAACTCTGTTATTCTATTCTAGATATAACTAAAATATCAGACTGCTTGGAAACTTCAGTTAGTAGCCTCTGTTAAGACATGCAATGGCAGGCTTTGTGGTCTACCACTGCTTAGTGCCTATAAATAAATAATGTTGGTTTCTTTACCTACTCATTTATTGGATTACATTGGCACTCCACCTTCTAAGGAACTTCAGCAAGCATTAAATATTGTGTGACTAAATTATCATTGCCTGTGATATTTACACTCATGTTTTTGTTTGCCTACCATCTTTAGCCAAATAGGTGTTGGAGCTTTTATATTGATTGAGTGAGTTAAAAAAAAGAAAAAAACCTGGAAGGTTTTTTTTTTCTCTGTTTCAGAGAAGGTTCCTTCCAAGCCTCCCACAAAAATGCTGGACATTCAGCCTCATATCTTCTACTTGCAAAACATGTATTCTGCTTCTGAATCAGGCTATGAAAAATTTGGCAACCTGGAGACAGAACATTCTGAGGAATGGATAAAATATATCTTCCTTCTCCCTGCTCTTAACTGTTCTTTTCAGTTATATTATTGCCCATTATAGTTCACTTGTGATAGAGCATATTCTGTATATTGATCAGTTGTATTTTGACATTTTAATTCAGGATTGTGGCTCAGTCATTCATCCTGAGGAATCCTGTGGTTTGCAGCCTCTCTCTGCTGAATATCTGTCTATCGTTTCACAGCCACAGTTGAAGACATGTGAAATGGGGGATGTAAAAGGCATGTTTTTAATATATTCTTTGCATATTCAAAAATATTCTCACCTTCTTACAAGAATGCTGATTCCTTGCCTCCTGCCACTTGAAAATTAAGAAAAAGCTCAAAAAAAACCCCAATAGAGCCAAACTAATTTGTTAAATCATCTTCTACTTTAAATTATGAATAATTAATAATGGTTAAAATAATGCATTTGCCTTAGAAAAAGGAATTTTAGCTCAGTGGCAGAGCACAAACTATGCATTTTGGAAATCATGGCATATGTCTATTGCAGTACCAACTTAAAAAAAAGAGGTAGCAAAACTATAGATAACTTTCAATTAAAACTCCAAAATGCTGTATGTCAGTTCATGAAGACAGAGTTGATATTGCCACTTGGCTAAGTGATGCATTGTGGTTAGAGTACTGGACAAGGACTGGAGAAATTTAGATCCGAAAGTATAGTTACATCTATACAGTTTCCTAGGGAATATTGTTGTATCCAATGATTTTTGAGTCCATTTTGGATGTCCTTGGAGGAAGGGAAAGATGTAAATTTAAATAAGTACCATTTCTATGTCAAGCAAAGATTTGTTTTGTTGCCTTAAGTCTCCTCCATTTGGGTTCATTTTTTTTTTGCCTTTTAATATTGGGTCAAGAGAAAGAAAAAGTATTTTGATTTCTAGGCATAAATGTCTGCCCAATTTATTTCTAGTCAAGAAATTCCAAGTAGAGATGTAAGAATGGTTATTATCTACTTTCCAGGACAGTGGATTGTTCCTTGCCTTAGTTGTTCTGATAACAGAACCTGTGATTGGAGGCAGATAACATGGCAGCCAAATAATTGTCAGTACCCTGTTTTGAATAAACCAGAACTCCAAAAGTGTGTAGAAAGAAAAAAGGTAAGTCACAAGGTCGGTAAGAGGAAAATCTATACTAAAAAAAAAAAATTCTCTCTTCATTTAAGCTATGCTGTTTTTAAAAAGCTGAATACTCCTTTATTAATATATTAATAATTCTTCTATTGTAATTTTTATTGTAGTCCAAACAATACCCTGTTTGTTTCGATTAATGTAATGCTATATGTTAGTGTTAGATATTAATTTGTTTTTCATGAATTCTGTTTTTTTCTGCTGGCGTGTAATGCATGGTTTTGCTTCTGCTGACCAAACTTATGAAATCTTCCTTCATGTTCTTGTGCAGGCCTCAGGCGGACCTCACTTTTCTTACTTGAAGATTCTAAAATTGCTTGGAAAAGTAGTGTCTCCTTAATAAGCATGGTTTGACTGTCTAACATCTGGCTGAGATGTGTGGCACAGGTACAGCTGTCTGCTAATACAATTATTCAGAAGAAAATATTACATTGCAGATAGTGCAGTGCATTATACAATTAAGAATAAACACTTAAAAATAACCCCAATATAAGCTGCATGACTAATGAATATCTAAAACATTCAACTATATACTATGTCGCATGAACTTCTTTAACATACATGCATTTTATTTTTTGGACTAAATGGTAGCTCTCAGATTCCCAGAATTTAGGAATTAAAGTCTAAAACATCTGTTGAGCATCATGGTACTTAATTTGCCTTATATTAGTGTTTCTCTACCTCGGCAACTCTAAGATATATGGGCTTCAACTTTCTGAATTGCCCGTATAGTATTCTGGAAGTTGAAGTCCATACGTTTTAAAGTTGCTGAGGTTGGGAAACACTGTTTTATATTATGGCACCATGAAAAATGTTCTGCAATAGATGAACCATAAAGTAATTGGCACCAATAAAGTAAAAAAGAAAGGTTGGGTCTTCTATTTTCTGCTGATGTAGTCAAACAGAATCACTGTCAAGGTTTACAGCAAATATCTATCATTCCTTTTCTGTTCCTGGCTTATTTAGCATGCAATTCTTCGATTCAAATGGGGCCATTCATTCTGTCTCTAGCTTTGGAAAACTTAAATTCAGTTATACTATCTGAAGCTTGAACTATCTATCTAACCTTATTCCTGCCATAATTTCACCTTGCAAAATAATTGTTCTAGAAAGATCTACTCTATTTTAAAACAAGTTCTATTTTATTTTTTAAAAAAGCCCTTATTTATGGCCGGTTTTCCTGTTGATTCTTATTTAGACCTCTTTAAAAGAAAAGATACTTTAATTCTTTTATTAAACAAAATAAATGTATAAATAAGGCACAAACACAAAAAGAAAAAATGACAAAAACATCCCATGTAGAAAAAAAGTCAGCTCAATTTTAAAACATATCATTAAGTCTTGACCACACTGAATAATATTGTTTTGTCTTTCCATTACATTGAGAGCCAGCCCATAAACAAAAAGCAAACAAGTATGAGCAATCTACAATGATAATACTGGTGTTGTGCTGTCTTTCCAACTTTGAAGAGTAATATTTTTTTTGCTCCTTGCCATACTCAATAAATCTATACTTTTTCATACAGTGGTATATTTTATATATAATTGAGGAGTTTACTCATATTTACAAAGCATAGTAAATGTAGAATAATGTAGGACTGAAATTGAAGAAAATATTTTTGTGATATATTTATGAGCATGAAATCCAAAAGGGGAAATTGTGGAATAACTCATAAGCCACAAGTTAATTTCCCTTATCCATGTCATGGTTGTGACTGAATAATGGTGACAGCCTTTTAAAATATTTCTGGATTCTCTATAAATACAAGATGATTTTTTTTTTGTTCAGTTAGTCTTATTTTATGATCTTGAGGAGCATCAAATATTTCAATCTTGAACTTGTTGATTTGTTAATATGAATATTTTATCCTTTAATTATGAGTTTTGCAATAATTAAAATCTGTTTTAGCAGTAGTCTTTATAGGTTTATAAAAAGATACTAGAATCACCTCCCCAAAAATTGCAATACTAATAAATTTGAGAGTGAAATTGGATATATTAATGGAATATATTGCTTTTTTATAATTTTAAGCAAGCCAATTTTTCTTTTCAATAATCTAAATGGTATAAACATAGATGTATCTTCAATTTATAATTGCCCCAGAGAATAAATGGGAATAAGGTCTAAAATTATATTTTTGTTCCAACATTTTGCAGATGCGCCTTGCTGCATTTAATGCAGAGAATACAATATTGCTATCACTAAAAATGGAACTAAGAACCTGTTGTGATATTAAAATAAAAGGTTGTTTACAAGATGAATTGTTGAGGTGGGGAGGAATAAGGAAACACAATGTTATGATTCAAACTCTGCATTTTTTGTATTTTCAATTGTGGCATCCGATGCAAATATGTAAGAGGCAGAGCTTGTGCACAAATACACTTTTGGTCATTTGGTTAAATCTTCAGCTTCTGCTGATGTCAAAAATCAGACATTTTAATTTGTGTCAACTTTTTTTAAAACTTCTCTTCCATAGCAAAATGTAAGCAGTGCTATTCTTAAACTTCTCCGAAATTTTCCCACAGAACTGCCCAATCTATTAAACTATCCGAAATGCTTATCACTGGAGTAAATAATTTCTAAAAAATATAATAGAACAAATGAATTTATCGGTTCCTTTCTCAATCTGGTACTTTTCAGATGTGTTACTTGAACCACTACTTCCATTATATCCACAGTCAGCATAACCATTAGGGTGGATTTGTAGTCTGATACATCCAGAGAATATCAGGTTGAAGTAGGTTCTTTCTTCTGGAGCAGCAGATTCCCTGGCAAGGTGGCAGTGAAAGTTGGAATATAATGTTGACAAGAACAGGTGATGTTCAAATCCTATGCTTTCCCATGAAGCTTATGATGTGGTCCTGGAGATACAGCTGACCAAGAAATGCAGGTTCTATAAGGGTCAACAAATATGTTGAGAATTGGATTGGTAGGGCATCTCAGCTTTATCTTTCACTAATGGCCATGTCTTGTCATTGGCTTTATTCTGATCTCCCTTTTCATTTCAGCACTCAAGTTATTTCCATCAGTGCTAACTTAGGACCACTGGGTGGGGTGGAGAAGTACACACAGATTGTCTGAGACAAGAAAAATGGGTTCTAAATCCCTAAGCATTCTGTAACAGAGCCTTGGGAGATTAATGTTGTGTTAGTAAAGCTAATAGGTCATATACAAAGAATGTAGGAAATGTATGCTTGAAAAGGATTTATTCATTTTATATATAATGCAATATATTTTTAAAAATTATTTGAATTTTTAGTACAATAAAGGATATAAAGGGTATATTACATGATACTATCTTATATTGTAGCATTTGGAAAATGAAACGAGTTTAAAAGGACATTTAAAAAATAAAAGTCAAACAAAAAAGTGGTTTGTTTTCCCCAAGTAATAAAACTTTTTGTTAATTAATTTAACCATAAGAGTTTTGCTGCCATGTAGTATTTTGATTACCCAAAGGAACTTTTTAGAAAAAGAAATTGAAAAGGTAAAAAGAATACTAACGAGGTATATGTTATATCATGTCATTGAGTAAAAGGTGATGAAACACATATTTATTCAGTTTCACTCTTTAAAAAGCCCGTTATAGTTTAATAATGTAATCAAATGCACTCAGTAATGTATGCTTGAGAATAAATCATATATAAAATAAGTTCTGCTAAAGTGCTTAAAATCCACATATTAAAGCAGAACTTGCATATTTTTTTTCAACATGAAAATTCTGGGCTTAACAGTATTCATTCATGTCTTCATTATCTCTGGAAAAGAAATGAATGTTATTCTAATTATATCCTTTATTTTCATTTACAGTCCTTTCACATAGTCTAACATAATTTGTGTGTTTTTCCTAGTTTGGTCCTTGTATTTAAAAAACCCACTTTCCCTTTATACACACTAGATGACACATCATTCTGCTTAATTTTGAAATTGGCCAAATTCAAGAAAGCTCTCTTAGATGACAATGAGGGCTCTGTGTTAGAGTTTTCATTGGGATCTTCAATATTTCACGTGCAGTGGGCTACTTCTCACACTTGAGTTTTTTATCTGTAAATTGGAATTTAAAGTATTAGCTCACAGAAATGATTTTAATGCAGCCTCAGATTTTTAAAAAGTGCTGGGCAAAATAGTTGATATTGTTATTTCATCCTTTGTCACATGTATCCACCTCACATTTTCCTAAAGTAAAGAACATCTCTGTTAAAATTAATACTAATAAATACATACATGAAAAACAACCTTTCATATTGAAAATACAGCTAGTCCTTGCTTAGCAACCATTTGGACCAATTGGGACCAGCCACATAGTTGCTAATGCTGCAACTGCTAAGTGGAAAATCACATGACCACAATGGGCTTACAACCTCACTTCCCCTTCAATTGTTAAGTGCCACAGTCCTTAAGCAAAACATCAGGTGACCATGACTTATGATTTTACTTCCATCTTATCTATTAATTTACTCTGTCAGAATTTCAAATGGTTGCTAAATGAGGTAGTCAGTAAGGACTACATGTACATTTTTGACCCTCCATCATACAAGTTGCTGCAATTTATTTATTGCTAATCCACCAAGCAAACTTAAACCAAAACTGCAGACTTAAGCTCTATTGAGTTCTATTGAGATCTATCAACTTTTGTTATTAAATGGTTTTTGGTTTTTACCTTTAAAGGTTCTTTTCATTGGTGATTCCACTAACAGAGGGATGATGTATTACCTGATAGAGAGAGTGAATGAGACCCTTCAAGAATGGCAAAAGGCACATGGCATGAAGTTTTATCACAATGTGAACAATGGGAGCACTTTCATTAGTTATTCATATTATCCCCAATTCTGGATCAGTGTCAGTCAAAGACCTACATTTGAAGAAGCTCTAGAGCAGCTGCTATTCAGGTATGATAGAACAGTTGGCAAGATTAGTTTCCTTTTCCTGATATTCAGGTGTTTGAGTCAAGTGGTTCAGTTCCTGCGTTTGGGAGATATTTACAGTACCTCAGATTCTCCACTGCTTTTACCACTTCACCAGATTGAAAATTCTAGCAGTTACAATTTTGGAGAAACTATTACAATAGAAAGAGAATAACAGGTCTCCATTGATCTCATATTTAACTGTACAGAGCGGATGTGGAGAACTTGCAGCCCTCCAGGTATTCGTATACTAAGCTACCTAACAGACCTAGACTACAATCCCTGGAAAGAGAAACTCAGAACTCTAGTACAGCAACAGGTTTCCCAACTCTGTTGTAAAGAACATTTTCTTTTCTCCTTTACATTTCAAAGCCATTCATCAAAAGTATTTTCTATTCCTGGGAATGTTAGCATGCAGTAAAACAAAAAATGGTTCAGAGGTCGGAATGCAATATCCTAAAATACCAGTGGAATGTTAAATATCTTTGAATATCTTTGTTGGAGTGACTTCCTTGCATCAGGCATGTGCTACCTTTGTATAAATAATAATTTATACAATGAAAAATAAGAACAAGTAATAAATGTTTACTTTTAAAATATGCAGAACTATAGTCTGTAATGGAAAATGATATCAGTATGTGTGGTTAGGAATGTTCTTGGCTGATGTGTGTTTCAATGTTGCTAAAATATAAATGCTTCCATCTGTTCAAATGGTAGGGCAAAGTTTGTGGTTTGTTTATTATTGTTGTTGTTGTTGTTGTTGTTGTTATTGTTATTGTTATTGTTGTTGTTGTTATTATTATTATTATTATTATTATTATTATTATTATTTATTTCAGATCACAGCCATTAGAGAATACAGGCCAAACCATACTAGTTATTGGTGGAGTCCAATGGCTTAATTTCAGTCACTTGCATATTATTCAAAAAGTACTAAAGCGGTAAGTGTTAATATTATAGGGTGTTTTTTTTTTGTTTGACATTATACTAATAAAAATTAAGTATTCCTAATGGCTATTTTCAGTATGATTTTTGGTATGTTAGTGCTTGGGCATTTTTTCAGGATCCAGATACTGCTGAATTACAATTCTCTAGTACCCCAACCAATATGCCTAATGGTGACAGATGCTGGGAGTTATTTAACAATATCTAAAGAATGAACCTCCAACTTTTTATGATCTAATGGGCACATTTGAGATTTTGAGCTATTCTTCCAAAATAGCTGATGTGAGTAGGCTTGCTTATTCACAAAACAGCTGCAAGCTGCTACATATCCACTTGGAAACTACTGATTTCTACTATTCTTGACTGTTGCATTTTATTTTATTTTTATTTTTTATTTGACACACGAGTTTATAGACAACTGTTTACATACCTGTTTAGATTCCAGACATATTCTTAGAAATAAAGATGATATTGAACATTTCTGCCTCGCTTTGGAGCATTTAATTGTTTTAATTAAAAAACTAAAAAAGTCATGGCAAATGACTTGAAAAGTATCTGCAGGCATATTGGCATCTTTAGACACCTTATTTAAAGGAGCCTGATTACTTGGGAAACACAGTTTCATCATTCCCAGTGACCTATATTTCAAATATGAAATGTAAAATCCAGCTCCACAACAATGTCTCCTTAAAGAGTGAGGAAAGAGGCAAGGCAAGGAAGACATCTTTTCTTGTATCTGAATCCAAAACCTCCTACATAAATTTCACTTATTGGACCAGATAATTGGAGAAAACTGAATGTCCATCAAAATGTTCATAAGATTTTTTTTAATAGCATACACAAATGCAACTGTGCATCAAAATATACAGCTTGCTGAAAAAAACCACAATCTTGATGGACCATATATCCACTTGGGCACACATTGGGCTTTCACAGTTCCTGATCACCTAGAAATAGGCATGTAGAATCCAGCAAATAGATCTCCTTCTTCAGACTGAGAGCTTCTAACTTGATGGAGCTGTTTTTGTGAACAGCTGTGGCAGAACATTTTAAAGCCTGTGCTTGAATAGTAGGTCTCATATGAAGAAAATTGGAATGGTATATACCTGAGAGCTGAAGTCACTCTCTAATCTTTAATGTTAGGTGGAGCAAAATCGGTAGAAATTGCATTTCCAATTGCAGTTCCCTAGCTAAGTTACATGTATGACAATTTCTGCTCCCATTGCTACAGAGCAGTTTATAACATAGTGCTTGCCTGGGCTTACACATCAAATCTTTGGCATGTGGAGTTATCCAATTTTTTTTAGTTAGGCAGAATGAAGTGCATTTTGTCTGATTCTGAGGACACAGAAAACATAAAATAGATTCCATTACAATTTGAGGGCCAATTTACTTGTCCATTTCTTTCAGACTGCTGATCATTCATACCTTGTTTTTCTGACGATTACCTCTTAGAGAACTCATTCCTCCTCAATTGCTTGCAAATTTAATCTTGAGTCTGATAAAATATAAAATAGATTGGCATCTATTCTTCAAAATAGCTTCATACGAATATGATTTGATCAAAAATTTCTTAAATTGATAACTGTAGAGTCATCAGCATTAAATTATACCCACAAGGATGATGTCTCCATAGTTATCAAGTTAAAATGATTTTGGTTAGATTATATTAGTAATACATGAGAATACCACTATTGCTTTCTATTTTCACTTAATGTTCAAATTACTAATCAAAATATTAAGTTGAAAGTCAAAATTTTAAATGAAATGTCATTTTATTGAGCCTGAATATTTATCAGTGACAATTTCTTAAAATACTGCACCTATGCAAATGCCAAAATAAAATATATCTATTTTTCTCATTTGCTCTCTAGAATGAATCTCTCAAATATAATGGTAGTGATAAAATCCCTAGGAATGGGCTTTCATCTGCCAGTAGATGGAGTACACACTTTGTCATCAGTAAGTTGCAATTTGTTCATAGCCTATTAAAATTAATTGTTCTTTAAACCATAATTTTATTTTCTTCAGCATCCTGATCCTAAGAATTGCACTGATTCTGTAATGTACACAGATGCCAATAACAATAACAGCTGTTCAAGGTCAAAAAACAGGCACATGTGGAATTCCAAGAATGTTATTTATCATTGTAGTATAGAATAACAGAATCTTGAAAGCCTGTCAGAGTTGCTGTCTTCTCTATCTTATACTAAGCAAAATCAAGGCAGAATTATTCTGAATGCCTTATATTTTCCACTTTCTCAGGACCGAGTAAACATTTTTTGTCCCTTAGCAATTCATTGCATTCCCCTTCCCAAAGTTTGATTATAGAAAAGATTCCTGTCAGCCTCCCAGGTAGACCAGCAGGAAACACAACAAGATGAACTAATTCTAATTTACTGTGTACCTACATTAATAGAATCAAGCATGTCTGAAGTATAACTCCCCTGCCTCTCTTTTTACCATACATTCCTTTAAAAAAATTCTGCCCATTACTCAGTTGTGAGCTCCTCCCCCTTTTATCTTTTATTGTTCCCATTGCAACATCTCTTCTCCCTGTCTGGTAAGGTCATTCTCACATTCCATTACACTCCCTCACTGAAAACCACTTTTGGTCTCCGCTTCCCTCACTTGATTAAAATGGGGAACCACAAGCCATATTTATAGATGAAAAACAAACTTTGAATTGCACAGGTATATTAGGCACATGCTGGGAATACCAGACAAAATATAGACTACTGCATTTTATAGCAGTTGCAATTTCCATGTGGTCTTCAAAGCAGTCTCATGTAAAGTGCATTGTAGAATCTAGTTGAGCAGTATTAAGGACATAAGTCATTACTAAATGATCCTTTTCTTCCAAAAAGAATCACAGTTCTTCTGGTTCTTCTGGCCAAGGAGACTCTCAAGTTATAGCCATCCTTCAAGAAAATACTGCCTTCCCAAGAAGCAATAGAAAGCCATGATCAAACAAGAATTCCATCTTATTAAAGTTCAACTTTAGTCTATTTTGTTCCATTCAGACCCCAATATCCTCAAAAACGAAAACATTTGACAGCATTGGTAAACAAGTGACACTTGGTCTAACTGTTTAAAAACATAAGTAGCCAACAGAATCATACTTTATTTTTGTTTACAATATCTTTCTTCCCTCAGTGGCTATGCCATCTGGCAACAAGCATGCATGTTATTATAAAAAATTATAGTCTGAATTCCTTCCTTCCTTCCTTCCTTCCTTCCTTCCTTCCTTCCTTCCTTCCTCATGCCCATTCCGTGAAGGATAGTACAAGAGCCTTGATAGTACAGGGGTTTAGTGCACCCTGTAATTAACACAGCTGCCTGCAATTTCTGCTGGTTCGAATCTCTCCAAGGCTCAAGGTTGACTCAGCCTTCCATCCTTTCTAAGGTAGGTGAAATGAGGACCCAGTTTGTGGGGGCAATAAGCTGACTTTGTATAAAACATACAAAAGAATGAAGGCTATTGCTTAACGCATTGTAAGACGCCCTGAGTCTCCGGAGAAGGGTGGCATATAAATCAAATTAAAAAAAAAAAAAAAAAAGGATAAGCAAACTTCAGACATGTGTCTTTGCTTTTTTAATGGAAGTTGTGCCAACTGAAAAAATGAAATATACTTCTAATTGAAGAATTCTGAACATCGTAATTGTTCTGCATACCAAAAACGAGCTGTGTTTTTTTCAGTACAAAGCTTTTTCAATATAATTTGAAAGAAATGTCAATTCGTTGTCCTATAATTAAATTATTAAAGTAAGATATCATTCTGATTTACTGTCTGTCACCCATCCATTATTTGATCCTCATTTGCCTATATTACCTTATAAAGATTTTTTTTCCCATAGTAGTAGGAAACTTTGAATAAAATAAAAATAATCTAATGTAAAATTGAATTTCAGCCCCATAATGAATTTGAAGGAATGCATCACTAATTATATACAATATTACCAAATTAGACCACTAATAGTTTTGTGTCATCTCATTTATCAATACCTGTAAGATTAAAAGGTAAGGTAAAGGTTCCTCTGCACATGCGTGCTAGTTGTTTCTGGCTCTAGGGGAGCTGTGCTCATCTCTGTTTCAAAGCCGAAGAGCCAGCACTGTCCTAAGATGCCTCCGTGGTCATGTGGCTGGCATGACTAAACACCAAAGGCGCACAAAGCGCTGTTACCTTCCCACCAAAGTGGTCCCTATTTTTTCTACTTGCATTTTTTACGTGCTTTCAAACTGCTAGGTTGGCAGAAGCTGAGACAAGGAACGGGAATTCACTCCATTACAGGATTCAAACTGCTGACTCTGACCTTTTGATCAACAAGCTCAGTGTCTTAGCCATTGAACCACCACGTCCCTTCCTATAAGATTAGTGGTACCTAAAACACATTTTATTTCTGAAATAATTTCTCCTTCCTTTTCTCTTTTTATTTCTCTTCCTCTCTTTCTCTGTATGTTGAATTATGTTCATTCTAAGAAGATCAATTTGTGAGTTGTTTTATCGCAGGCACTCTTGTTGATACTCAATAAAAAAATTGAGTTCTCAAATTTCCATTCAAATCATTCATTTGCCATTCTTCTATTCAAACAGAAACTAGAAATAAACAAAAAATGTTGATGTGAGGTGTCTTGATTTAAATTGCAGTCAGAAATACAGAATTTGTGGAAAGAAAATCTTGCTATTCTAAACACTGCAAAACACTATGGCTATGAGGTCGTTGATACTTTCATTATTACAATGGGACGGTACAAGGAATTTTTGCAAGGGAAATGTGGTTGTCATTTTCATGAGGTAAGAATTTGGGGTTAGTGCTTCAGCCTGGGTATTTTATACACTTTAAATTTTGTCCTACATTAATGAAAACATTTGAAATATATAAAGCTATATTTTGGCAATCCACCATAAGCATTTTACAGTTAGACCAATTATGCATAAATATAATTGAACATGGTGCAGATGATTCTTAGTAAACATGCACAGTGATGTAGAATGAATTGAGAAGGAAGAAAAAGAGCTTATTCTGTGTTGATGTGAACAGAGCATTGAAAGTCTAGCTAATCTAGATACCTTCTGCTGGAGGAGGAGGGAGAGGAGAAGGCAAAGGGGAAGCAACTAGTCATCTTTTGTTCCTTCAGAATAACAGAATTGGAAGGGACGTTGGAGGTCTTCTAGACCAACCCCCTGTTCAAGCAGGAGACCCTACACCATTCCAGACAAATGGCTGTCTAATTTCTTCTTAAAAACCTCCAGCAATAGGGAATCCATGACTTCCTAAGGCAAGATGTTCCACCGGTTAATTGTTCTCACTGTTAGGAAGTTTCTCCTTAATTCCAGGTTGCTTCTCTCCTTGATTAGTTTCCATTCATTGTTTCTTGTTTTGCCTTCTGGTGCTTTGGAAAATAGGTTGACCTCCCCCCTTCTTTGTGGCAGCCCCTCAAATATTGGAACATTGCTTTCAAATTAAGTTCAACCTTTATTACAATCAAAGACCAACATAGAGAGGGAGGGGTCCAAGGAATTAAAAAGAATAAAAATATAACAGAATAAAATTATATATACAAAGCTAAAAGATAAAAAAACTAAAAATTAAAATAATATTAAAAGTGTCTAAAAGGAAGGATAGGAGCAGTAAATGGATTTAGGGGAACATGGCAAATTAAATCTTTCATAATACAGAACACTCTATAATGATGAATTAAGTGTTCATTAAAACTGGTTTGTTGCACAAAAGATGTTTAGTTTGATCTTTTTCTCTTCAAGTTAGCAACAGTGGCCAAACAGTGTCCCACAGGTTCTTTAGGTTTGGAGACAGTAAGCTCAAACCAGGGTGAACTGATAGCAGATGGACCCCTGGCCCTGGGAGGTAATTGTGTAGCAATTTTCCAGGCCTTTGTTTATGCGCTAAAGTTCCCTATCTGAGGACTTTTGCCACATTTTTACTTTTACTTTTGACATTTTACCAGAGACTATAAAAAATAACATCTGGAGATAGTTTAGTAGTGTATCTTGTCAGTGACTAGTCATATTTCAGTTGATACTGCTAGAAATATTTTTTAAAAAGGGGGTGTCCCTTGCAGACAACACTTGGGCATTGTCTGATGACATATTTTTCAATAATTTTGGAGAGACTGTGGACTGTATGCAGCTGCCTGCCCACCTCTCCAAGTAGGTAGGCTAGGAAATTCATCCCATCCTCTTTATCCTAATTGTTACAAACAGGAATAGAGATTAAAAGTCAGAATGATTTTGTATATAATGCTGCAAATTCTAGAGCTGGCTAAACATAACAACACACAAAAGTGGCTATGTTTATGTGTAAAGGGGAAAAAAATTCCTTATCTCTTACATGATGCCACTGTACCATATATTTTCAATCCATGCACAACAGTTCAGGTTTCTAAATTGCTAAGAAAATGTGTGATTTCTCAAGAACATTATTTACATGACTTTAAATAAATCATCTACACTCACCCAGAAAAACTGTATTTGGCCCATGCATTGCTATTGTATCCACTGTCATAAATAACAAAGCCCTAAAGTTTATCCATAGAGTTAGTTCTGGAAAAGCATATATTTTTTGCTTTTCATATTGCACTCTTGAGTATTCCACCATACAAGCATGGCAGGAAATATCATTATTTGGGCTAATATTGATTTCTATGCTTATGTACCCATAGGTAATCCTCAATTTATGATCCTAATCGAGCCTGCCCATCACATTATAAGTCCTGATGGTTGTAATGCAATTAACCCAATTTTGCTACCTTTTTATGGTGGTCATTAAATGAACACTATAATCATTAAATGAACCATCGGTTTATTATGAAGCTGTTTTTGTCAAAAATCACAAGTAAATGCCAATTCTCAACAAAACTGTCATAAAATGCAGTTATAAATGGAGCCCATTGCCAAATGCATGAAGTAGCATCACATGACTGGGGGCAACCATCATAACTGCAAATCTGGGTCATAAATAGCCCCCAGGTAGGTCCATCAGAACTTCAAACAGTGATTGGATTACATGCAGTTGTGGGATTCAGCCAGTTCGCACCATTTCAGGAGAACCGGTTGTTAACTTTCTGAGCAGTTTGGCAAACTGGTTGTTGGAAGAAATCATTAGGACAGAGAACCGGTTGTTAAATTACTTGAATCCCACCACTGATTACATGTATTTACACTGTTGGGTAGACAGAACTAAGCTGCAAAGAAGAAAGGGATAAGAACTAACTTTACCATTTTTGAATATTGCATTGTAAGACATTTAAATGTTTGCAGAATAAAACAACAGTAATTGTTAGTAACTGTATTGTTATGCATATACCACTTGAACTGAGAATTTGTTGCATGAACTTGAAACATTAGCATAAATACCGGTAATTTGTAAACCATTGCTTCCATCTCTTTCAGGTGGTGAAATCAAAGGCATCTGAAAAAAGCTTTCCTATAGCAACAACATTCGCAAGACCCTATGTTCTGGGCAAATATTTCAACAACCAAAGCAACCTTGTAAAACTGCAAGCTTATGCATCCAATTCTCAATCTCCTTATCATGTGAGAGGCCCAATCAATCAAGTTTATTCTGAAATACTCCTCAGCAGGATCTGTGGGAACAACAGAAAGGATGTCAGCATGTAATTTCGAATGTTAGGCATGTAGAGCTCAAAGACTCCCCATTTTCCCATGGAGTGGCCCACTGATCCTCTCAGATTTAGTACACATTTCTCTGAAAGGCGGAACAGATTAGCATAATTCAAGACATGTGGGCATTTCATCAAAGCCATAGAAAATCAAGATGGATCTTCATAGATTTGTGGCTTCAGAGGGAGAAACAGAAGCACAAGTGGCAAAAGCAAGAAGAAAAAGTTACTTGAAATAGTGCCCAACATTAAGTCAGATGTAAGCTACATTTATGCAATATTGTATGATAGGATATACTGCAATGCACTCATTCCATGTTTAAAGATTTTATGATTATAAATGAAAAAAGCAATAGAAGAAAATGTACTTTTAGCATTTGCATTGAAGAAATGATGGCATCAATTCTAAGACTGCAAAGTAATAATAATAAAAATCTCACAAGAGATTTTTGTCCAGACTGATTATGTGCCATCAAGTCAATTTCAACTCCTAGTGACCACACAGTTAAATCTTTTTCCATGACAAACTGTTCATAACTTGGTCTTTTAGTTCTTCCAATAGTCTATGCATCACTGTAACTGAACGCTTCCACCTTGTTGCTAGTTATTCTCTTCTCTTTCCTTCCATCCTTCCCAGCATTACAACCTTCGTTAGATCTCTTGAAATAATGTGTCCAAAGCAGGATAATTTTAGCTGGATCTAGTAGTGAGTATTTTGGGTTGATCTTGTTCAAATTAACCTGACTTATATTCAAAATGCTAGGTAACTTCTACTTGTAGCTCTATTGCACTGATTAAGGTTACACAAGTACCATGTGGCTCCATGAAGAAGTTTTATTCCTTCTTCTTTGTCCTCTGTTATTAAGTTGATGCAGATTTCAGAATGTTTGTCTGTAAACAGAAGCAAAACTTTAAAGAAAATTGGTTTGGTTTGGTTTTATGGTTTTATTTGATTTGTATACCGCCCTACTCCCGAAGGACTCAGGGCGGTGAACAGCCAACAATAAAATACATAAATACACAAAATTTAAAAACCCGATAAAATCAAATTAAACTTTTTGGCCCAGACAAATTAAAATACCCCAATAATTTAAAAACAGATTAAAATTTACATATTTTAAAATTGCCCATATAAATACCTTTATTTTATAACATTACATTTTCCTTCTTCCTCCTCCAGTAGTGGAATTGACTTGAGAACTTCTAAACGAAATTATTGTACTGTTTAGCAAAACCATTTAAGAATGGGGAAAGAAAATTCAGCTTGTAACTTGGATCAAGGTAATATAAAAAAAGACCCAGTTTGGTGTAATGATTAATGGTATCATGAATCAAGGCAAATATACATGTCCTAATGGTCCTACAATGGTGCAGGATCCAATCTGGGTAAATCACTGGGAGCAGAGGTTTAGTCTCTCGAGCTTTCGGACTTGTGCTGGACCCCATCCTCAGGAAACTTCTCTCTACAGCAGGGTGTCAAACTCAAGGCCAGGGGCCGGATCCAGCCTGTAGGATGCTTAGATCTGGCCTGCGGGGTCACCCTGGAAACAGAGAAGGACTGGCCTGCAGTGCCTCTGCCAGTGAAAACAGAAGAGCTGCCTGTGGCCCTCCCAAGTTCCTTTTTCGCTGGCAGAGGGTTGCAGGAGACTATCGCAGCTGAAAACAGAGCTCGGGCGCCTGTTTTCGCTGGCAGAGCGCTCAGGCTACCACAGGCGCCCCAAACATGAGTGATGTCAAGCTGGCCATGCTCACCCTGGCTATGCCCACCCCAGCCCCCCAACGTCAAACACAACCCTGATGCATCTCTTAATGAAATCGAATTTGACACCCCTGCTCTACAGGAATGTGTCCTTTGGGGTATTCTATGCTTAGTATTTATGTGGTGCCTGATTGGGTGAGACTTTTTATTGGTTGATTGGGGTATTGATGGCCGGCTATTAAGTTGTTGGTTGTTGTTTCCTTGTGCTGCCAAGTCCTCAGCTCCAAAGTACCTGATAAGTTGGTGGTAAATCAGCACTCCGGTTGACTGACAAGGAGCCCATTTCTCAGACTTCAATCATTTCCCTCTGTATCTTTGTACCTGCTCGGCCAAGGCATCAGGCTAGAAACCAGGAGACCATAAGTTCTAGTTCCACCTTAGGCATAAAGCCAGCTTGGGTCAGAAATTTTATCTCAATGCTAGGAAGTAGTAGACAATGGCAAACAACTTCTGGGAAACCTTGCCAAGAAAACTGCTAGGATTGTCCACTCCAGGCAGTCTCCAAGAATCAGACATGACTGAACAGAAGAAGAAAAAAGTATGAAACAGACTGGTTTCCTTAAAACCTTGTCATGAGATTGTAGTTGCAGGATTTGAATTGGTACTGATATTTTTGACTTACATTTTTTAGCCATATGATGTATATACACTGTATTTTCTTTTGCTCTGCCAGAAATCACGCCCGAAGGCTAAGGGAGGTTACAGAAACCTTGATACTATTTGCTCAGCTCAGTGAGATTCTATATGTGCCTGGCAGCCCAGTTTACCTTGTTCGGTGTGTATTGCCAACAGAATCATAGCAACAGCAACAACAAAACAATTTCATTTTCTTGCAGTGACCTTGCAAGTGTTATCTGCAAGGTATGGTAAAAGAGGTCAAAATGGTAGCCATGACAATAGGACACACATTTTAAAAAATGGAAAGAGCTTTCATTTCACCATTATGGATGCTCTCTTGACTTTTCTATTATATCCTGCAGACACCACCGGTCTCTGCATTTGGACACATATTTTGCCTTTGTTCATTTCACTGATACTAGAGTGCAGTGTCCTCAAAATTTCTCTCTGAATATAAATATTTTTCATAACCTTACAGAAATGATTATGCATGTATCTCAAACGAAAAATTACATACCTAGTCTAAACTTGAAGTAACTTGTATTAGTGCCAAAGGTAAACCTGAAATAAAGGTAAACCTGACTTACTGAACAGTCTTAAAATAATTATATTTACTTATAACTTAAATATTCCTATGGATACAAATTCTGATTTTAAAAAACACATACACATTGAGAGGTGATCCAGATTTCCGAGAGCTTGATTACCTTCCAATAGAAGCAAATATTTAAAGAAGATTGCCTGTATAAATATATTATACTGAAAGTAATGTTAAAGTTGAAGTCATACAGAAAGTCTTTAAAAAAACAAACAAACTATAACGAATTCTGGTTCTGTAATAGATTTCATGCTGGCAAATGTGCAATGTGAATTCTGAAGGTTCATTATTATATGGTTATCCTATGCTGTATTTCACTGTTTCATGTTTCTCAGATGTCGCTGTTTTGAAAGCATCATTTCAGTGCTTTATTTAGGCATATTTTATGTCAATTTATCACTGTAACATGCAAATCAACCTAATATGAATACGGACCATAGATGTTTATCAGTGATATCTAAATTGTAATTAGGCAATAGTAAATATGTATAAAATAAATATTGATACATTGTATGATATATTTCCTCAGTATGAGTATCTTTTTAATTGGCATGTGACAACAGATTAATGAAAACATCATACAGGTAGTCCTCGATTTACAACTGCAATTGAGCCCAAAATTTCTGTTGCTAAGCGAGACTTTTGTTAAGTGAGTTTTGCCCCTTTTGATGACTTTTCTTGCCACATTTGTTACACAAATCATTGCAGTTTCTAAGTTAGTCACATGGTTGTTAAGAGAATCTGGCTTCCTCATTGGCTTTGCTTGTCAGAAAGTCACAAAAGGTGATTACATGACCCCAGGACACTGCAACTATCATAAATATGAGTCAGTTGCCAAACATCTGAATTTTGATCATGTGACAAGGGGGATGCTACAATGGTCATAAGTGTGAAAAGTCACTTTTTTCATTGTTGTTGTAACTTTGAACGGTTACCAAATGAACTGTTGTAAGTTGAGGACTGCCTGTTTTCTCTTGTATATTGTGTTGTCTGTTTTCTTTAGCATGCAGAGCATCTTGATGAAGAGATGTGTCCTAAACGTCCTGTGAAACAATATGACCACACTGATTATATTGGATCTTTTTGGGAACAATGCACAGCAATGTCTTCATATTTTATATTCATGTATCAGGATATTTTCAGATGGCACCAGAGTCTCCACTCAGACTCATTCACTGATTAGAATTCACTTAAGACATCTGTAAAGGGCAACTCAAGATTTTTGACTAATAATAGTCATCTTCAACCATGTTGTATTGTCCTTCATCAGATTGTCTATCTATTGCTCAAAAGTTATCCAGAGTTATTTGGCCTCTGGTATCACTACTTTGCCTACCCCCACCTCCAGGGTGTCATAATATGCCACTGAAAACATTAGAATATCATTAAAAATAAAATAAATTTGACAAATGTTAGCATATATACAAACATATATACAAACAATTTGACAATTGTTATTAATTTAATGGTTTACTTTAGCTTTGATATAGATATTTATTCAAAGACCAGATAGTCTTTGAGTATTAAATCTAAAGATTATTAATAGTATAATTCTGTAACAATAATTTCTTGTTCTCATATAAAACTTTAAAAAATAAAAACAACATAGGGAAATTATTTTCAAATATCTAATCACAATTTTATTACTTATGAAATACTTCATATGACAAAGAGGCATAATCATCAACATAATCTGTTCAGTTTGCCATAATCCATTGGAAAAGCCAATATAATGTGTATGAGATTAAAAAAATAGTACACAACATTCATACTATGGGTTCAAATACTTCACTATGGTTTTGTTTTAATCATACTGTATTTAATTAACAAATCAAAAGTTCAAATATGTCAAAGTCATACTTTGCGATTTATAAAGCACCATGCTGTTTCGCACATTGGCTAAGCAAAAATTAAATGCATATTTCATGGAATAAGTCTGTGACAGTATGAAAAAAGGAGGACCCCCAAATTTCACCCAGGTTCCATTTGACATAGTGTTATCCCATCCAGAAGAAGAGGTGGATGGTCCCTAAAAACCAGAGCCACTCAGTCTTGCTGAGGCTGCAATGAAATCTGTTTCTCCCATTCCAAACCCTCACATACCCCAGACACTAAGACAGAACCTCCATAACATCTCTTGATCAGCTCAGGACTGTTGAAAAACTGAATATCACCCACATACTGATGATAACTCCTTTCATGCTATCAGATGACCTCACCTAGCAGTTTCATGTAATGTTAAGCTGGGGAAATCTGGATGCTGAAGTGCACATCTCTTAAAGATGCCAAATTTGAGAAACATAGTATAGACCCATGATGGTGAACTTATGGCACATGTGCCAGAGATGGCACATAGAGCCCTCTCTGTGTGCATGCGTTCCGTCACCAGCTGCTCTTCCAGGTTCCATCACGCACATGCGCTGGCCAGCTGGTCCAGTGCACATGCGCACTGGGTAGCTGCTCTCTTCCGGATTCCAGCGCGCACATGCATGGAGACCAGCTGGCCAGCGCGCATGCACACACCAGAACCTGGAAGAGAGAAACTGGCTGCCGCATGCATGCACACTGGCCAGCTGCTCTGTTCCGGGTTCTAGTGCTCCATCATGCGCACACACTCCAGTTTTAGCACTCGGTTCCGAAAAGGTTATCCGTCACTGATATAGACTAAAAAATTTACTTCAGAATATTAGGAGAAGAAGACTATTGTCCCTGTCGCTCAGCAATTTAGGAAGACTGTTTTAGATTATACAGGTAGTCCTTGATTTACAACAGTTCATTTAGAGTCTATTCAAAATTCCAACAGCACTGGAAAAAGTAACTTATGATCATTGCATGTGATCCCCTTTTGCAAACCTCTGACAAGCAAGTCAAAGGGGAAGCCAGATTCATTTAACAACCAGGTTACCAACTTAACAACTGCAGTGATTCACTTAACAACTGTGGCAAGAAAGGTTGTAAAATGGGGGGGGGGAATCACTTAATAAATTAGCACTTAGCAACATAAATTTTGGGCTCCATTGTCATAAATTGAGGACTACCTCTACTGTGAATACTGCTTGAATATGTTTTTAAGTAAAGTGCAGTATACAAACAACTCTTAATTCTTACATATATTTATCTGGGACTAATCCCCAGTGAACTCTGCTGGGATTATTTCTGAGTGCCGGGCTGCAAGTCAAATTTTTACTTTTGCAAAGATCATTGGTATTACCTGAAACAAAATCCTAAAGAATGGTTTTCTTGCCCACAAGTATAAACACAGTATAGTTTTTTTCCCACCTGCATGCTGAGAAATGACTTTAGACTTCACCTGTTTACTTACCTGACTACACGGAAGAATGCAACAGAAGTTTTCCTTCATGGTGGTGAGAACATTCCCTTCATTTGTTATTGCAATTTTTTTTCAAAAAAAAAAAAAGGTAGGAGTGGAGAAATTGTGTGTGTTTGTGTGTAAACAAATATCTCTTATTCATATTTAACACAGAGATCATTTTAACATGAGATTGAATAAACACAGTAAATAAAAATAAGCAGTATCTGTATCTGCCATTTGGAGCAGACCAACCTACTGTATGCTAATGTACTTGGAGATATAGTATATTTTGAGCATGAACTATGCAAATAGTTTGCATTTTACTTTCTTAGTGTTCCTTTAACCCATCAAAGGAATGGGTCTTGAGACTTATGTACCCTCAAGATATACTTTCTTAATCAAGCTATCTTTCTGCTATATTCAGTTCACTGAAACCTTTCTGTGTGGCATACCATCTCCCCAAACTTCCTAAAGTTCAAACGAAAGCATGTTTCAAAATCAATTTTTAATACTTTGCTGAAACATTCCAATTAGCACATCCATGTGGCTGGTTTCCACATTGCATTTGGAGCATTAGGGGGAAAAAGCATAATGGCTGAAAAAAAATGTGATAAAGAGCAAAGTACTATATCAGGATAGCAACATGGCAAATAATATTGATAAATAATATCTAATATTGGCAAATAATAACTAATATTAAGAGTACAATTGGATAATGTAAAAATTAGATGTAAGAGATTGGGATAGGAGAGCAATTCATAGTTTTCAGATTTAATCAGCATGGAAGTGGATGTAAATAGATTGAGAATTAATATCTATAACTAATTCCTCTATAACAGCTCTAACTGAACCAAAACATTGTACTGAATTTTAATTATTTTCTTTTGTGGCATTTCCAAATTCAATATAAATCATCATACAATATCAATCATTAGCCTTTTGGTGTTTTTGTTATATGTTACCAAAGTCCAATGAACAGAATTGCTATTTAAAATAAAAATAAAGAAAAAAACATAAATTTAGAGTTCAGTAATATATGTACCATCTAATTCCAGAAGGGTGGACTTTCCTTACACATCTTTGTTCTATTTTAAACATCAGCAGCCTAATACATAAATGATTCACTTTAACCATGTGTGCCTTTAACTCTCAAACCACATTTTTTAAAAAAATCATTAGGTATTGATTTGGTTGATTTATTTTTCAATAAAAAAGAAAGAGTGACATCCTGTTTTATTCTCATAGATGGGGTGGGGGGTGGGGTAGGCAATAATAGCAATTTTATGACCTGTGGACTTCACCTACCAGAATTCTGAACCAGCCATGTTGGGAGTTGAAGTCCACAGTTGTGAAGTTGCTACAAATTGCTCATCCTGTGCTCATCATCTTCACCATCTTGAAAACATTTTTAGGGCATAAAAATGATTGTACTGTAACATCCTGCTGTAATTACAGAACATGCATTGATAGACTCAACCTATCATAGCTGGATAAAACTCCATATTTATGTGCAAAATTCTTTCGCTCTGGGCTTTGTTTTCATAACCTTTTCAAAACAAAGAATTGTGTACAGTAGATCAACTGTTCTGCAGTTATTGGCAGACCTGGATTTATGTTCTGTTTCCTCATTCCCCACCAGAAAGCATATAGTTTAAACAACTGGAAAGCACATGGAATGACATGACACGCCATGACATGACATACAAGCTCTTGTATTTGGATCTGCATTTTTAAAAAATCTCCACTTATACTTCAATATTGCCTTCCTCCAAAGACATTAAGGGAAACATTTTAAATGTTCTCAGAAATTCAGATTCTTATAACTAAAAGAAACTGTAATCTTTCATCCTTCATGCTTTACCATAGATAGAACACAGATATAGAATGTGTTTTCTTTCTTTAACAACATTCTACCTCCTTCTCCCTCTCCTCTCCAGAAACATGCTGACATGGAAGGAAAGCATAATGAACAGAACAGAACAGAACAGAACAGAATAATCAAATCAACAACAACCTAAGATGCTGGCAGCAACCCGTATCAACCATCAGCGCCAGTCAATGATATTTGTGATACATTTTTAAATGTTTAGTTGACTGAGTTTCATGTTTAATGAATAAAAGAGATAATAATAGTAATAACAACAACAACAGCTTCCATCCTGCGACAATATCTGTCAAACATCCAGATTTGCCTATCTCACATCCTTGCTAAGGATTCGATAGATAGACAAAAATGCCAAACCCAGTTTGAACATCTGGCTGACTGTGTGATGTATTATTATTATTATTATTATTATTATTATTATTATTATTATTATTATTATTATTTTGAGTACAGACTTTTGAATACAGACATATTGTCATTTGGAACACAACACATCAGATATCACGGTTGTTGATGGCCAAAATGTACAATTTATTGATATTGCTGTACCAGGAGACGCCAGAATCAAAGAAAAAGAACTGGAAAAAATCATGAAATATCACGACCTGGCCATCGAAACTACGCGATTCTGGATGAAACATGTAACAGTGATACCCATTGTCATTGGGGCACTTGGTACCATGTCCAAGAATTTTATAAAATACATCAAGAAATTGCAGCTTCCTGCAATAACACCAGCGGAACTGCAAAAAACTGCACTACTCGGCACATCGTATATTTTAAGAAGATACTTGGTTGATACTTAGGACGCTGGCAGCAACCCGTATCAACTATTAGCACCAGTCAATGGTGATACATTTTAAAATATTCGGTTTACTGAGTTTCATGTTTAATGAATAAAAGATAATAATAGCCCTAACTATATTGCAGTACAGTAATCTCGTTACCAGCTGCTTTTTTGTTACAGCCTATGCTTTATTCTCATTTATACAGGTTTGTAGTACAAATTACTGTCTATACCTCATTAATGATGCCACTATTACTTAAATGGAAGCAAAAATATGATACAAAAACATGAAATCAGGAGAAATGAGTATTATACTGAGTTCTGGAATTAGAGAATGTCATTCTCCCATATCCTACATATTTCCTTACAACTAAAAAAAGTCCTTCCCTTTTAGGAGCCTGTAATCACTGAAAGTTTACAGGCCCTTCCTGACACAAGAAATGCATAGCAGATATTTTTTTTCTTTGCATCCTAGGAGAGAAGATTGAACTCTCAACCTTCCGAATGTCTTCACCACTAGGCCATCACACCGCTCATTTCATATTCTCCTCCAATTCCATCCCCAAAATGTTCTCTTCTGAAATGTATTGTAGTGGTTTTGCTGTCATATAGATTTTGAGGTGTCCTTCTGAAACATCACCATTTATTGCAGTTTTCCAATGTGGAAGCCTGCGGTCCAGCACTTCCCATTCGGAATCAGTTTCATTTTTATGAATTGCAGCATTAAGTCAGAAACCTTTATGAAGAACTGATGCTGTTTTCGGAGGCATCCTCAGGCGCCAATCAAGATAATTTTTCAGACTGCAAAGCTAGGGTTGCCAGGTCTGCTTCCAAAAAATAGCGGACAAGCGGGGGGGGGGGGGTTTAAGTAGTAAAAATTTTTTTAAAAAATTACAATTAAATTATATATTTTCTTACAAACATTTTAACACGTATTAAAATAATCACTTCAAAACTACTTAAAATTCAAAACATCAAATATATTATAATAATATGTAAAATATTAAATTACATTTTACATGTACATACAAATATTAAAGTACATTTTACATTTGCTGTCGTGTGTATTTTTTATTTGACTGCACAGCTTTGATCAATTCTTTGTGTTTAAGGAATAATTCTTTAATTTCAGTACAACGTTGAGAAATATTAAAAAATATACAAAGTTCACTTCGAACTGATGGTACAAGCAGTCGGTTACGTTCGTCAGTCCACAAATTTCCCATGATGCTGAAAATTCCTTCAACGTTTGCATTTGGTACCGGAACTGATGCACAATAGTGGAACAGTTTCAGTAAACTCGGAGCTGGCTCTTTCTTGAAAAAGTACGTCCACTTATCAAGGATGAATCGCCCTGCAGATGAACATAAACTTCTTCTAAGGCACAAATTTCATCGAAGAGAGTGTTGGATGGAAGTTCTTCTCACCATGGTGATAATAACCAGATGTTCATCATTTCTTCTAAAGTTGGAGGATTATTGCGATCAATTAGATTGAAACAACTTAGCGTCTCATATACTGAATCAGTGAAATTATACCACTTTTCTAGGTACGCAATGGCTCTTTGATACACGTTGATGGCTTCTTTCTTGAACTTTTGCACGGCATTCTCAGGCAAATGTTTTTTACGTAAGGCAAATAAAACTTTCATTCCAAAAAACTGCTCATCGTATTTTTTTTGCAAAGAATCACGCAGCTTACACATGATAATGTGAAGATCACATGCAAGAATTTTCTTACTTTCCAGCTTCAGTAGGGTGTCTTGTATTATTGACATGAAGAAGTGCGTGAAATATAAATACAATTCTGAAATTGTTGGTTCATCGTCCTTTGCGAGTTCATTTTCCTGATCCGAAATAAGGTTCCAGATAACCTTATGGCACTCATCAGATCCAAGAGAAATAAAATACGATTTTAGAGGTATCCAGTTTAAAAGAAGTCTTTCGACCGCTTTAAACAAACTTAACCAACGTGTTGGAACATAGTGCAAAACTTCATGGAATTCTGACTCGCAAAACTCAAAAAATGATTTCAACTCTTCTCGTTTCTTCGCAGAATTCGAAAATTTGGCAAAAACCTTCAGCACTACATTTTCAATATCAAAAGATAACTGCTTTAATGCATTTTTTGTGCTGTTGTGTAAAATGTGATTATTGCAATGAGCAGCTACAATATTGTCATTTTCCAGCAATAATTTTTGGTAAACAGATTTGTTCACTCCATAATTGATCGTTGCATTATCTGCTGAGTAAGCTGAAACATTATTTATTTCCAATTCGTTATCACTAAGAACTCGACACAGCTGATTTTTTATTGATGTAGAATCTTCGAAAGAATCCTCATAAAAGTCTAAAATTTTCACACACAGTCCTTCTTCACAAGTAAAATACTGGAAAGAAATATGGTGTTTGATCCCATGGTAAGTTTCAGCCATTTCAGCTACAGTCACTTTCTCACTGAAAGAGGAGTCTTTAACAATGATAAACGAATTGATTCGCTTGTTGCCGGAAGTTATTTTCTCCTTATCTAAATGATTTTTTGTGCTTGCATGCTGTGTGACAGCTTTTATACCATTATATTCAATTGTGAACAATTTCTGACACAATTTACAGTATGCCGTCGTATTTGTTCTGTCGGTTTCGTTGTTGGTAATTCATGCAAAAGTAGCTTCCCAGTCTTTGGTGTATTTGCACACTCCTCTCTTTCGTTTTAAAGAATTCGAAATCTCGCCGCTGTCACTCTCATCACTTGACGCCATTTTAGGTCAGTCGACACAAGCTACAATACATTTTAAAAATGTGAACTGTACATAATTTTATAATATATTTTTATTTTAATCTCATCATTAATTTTTTCGGAGAATCGAGTTCAATGGATATTCGATCTTTGTCTCATTCTAACTTATGAAAAAAAAGCCAAAACGCGATTCTCCTATCCTTATTTTCTTAGACTGTACAGCTTTAGATTACTGTACAGCTTTAGATTACGTACCATTTCATCATAAAGCTTTTGAATAAAAAAAATGTCCACTATTTTGTGAAAAAAAATAGTGAACATAATGTGAAAAATAGTGGACTGTCCGCTCAAATAGTGGACACCTGGCAAGGGCATGCAAAGCTTTCAGAAAAGGACAGCATTGAATATAGGGTCACAACCAACACTTGGGAGTTAACGTTGCACAAGAACTGAACGGCACGCACGCCTGAATGTTGACAAGGAAAAGGTTTTTTTTTTTACCTTTTTTTCTGTCCAGTTTATATCCCACAAGACAAAGATACTGGGAACTTTATTGCCAATCAATGAACCTTTGCCGGCTAGACTGACTCCCAAGTGTATTAGTTACTTCTTTAAAAAGTATACATTCCGTTTGTTTCACAATGCAGTGAGCAGAATATAAAAGCAAATAGCACAGCCTGATTCCCTGTTGGGCAGGCGTGGCGTCGACACCCGAGGCCGGCTGTGCTATTTTGCACAGCTTCCGACAATCAGCTAAGGTGTCCAGTTATGGGGCTTCGCCCCTCTGGGGAGCCTAAAAGCAGAGCGGATCCACAGATCTTCACTTTATTATTATGGCCGCGTGCACAACCAGCCCCAACCAATCAGAGCAATGTTGCATATTCATGAATTCTCTTTAGCCAATGAAAAAGCGAACAGGGAGCACCCAAAAAAAAAAAAAAAAAAAACCACCCCCAAAGCTGAAAGAAATAAAAAAAACTCCGGTAGGCGAAACTTTTCTCGCCTTCGAGCGAGGCGCTGGCGCGGCTTGTCCCGGTCTGGCGGATCCTCATGGCGTTTAAACCGTTGCACCAGAGTCCGCCTAGCAAGCGTGCGAAGTGAGGAGGGCGCAGCAGAGTCAGCCGGATCCCGGTGCCCGCATCTCTGCCTCGCCGGAACGAGCTGGGAGGGTGGGGGGGGGGGGACAGAGTTTTGGCTTCCCAAGGAACTCCATGCGTTGGCTATGGAGAAAGGGGCGCCCTTGGGACTGCCTCGCCTGTGCGTGCTGTGGACGGCGGTGCTATGGGAAGTCTGCCGCTGCGGCGCCCACGCCAACTGGATGTGAGTAGAATGGGCTCGCTAGAGGAGTTTGAATCTCCCGGGTCTGTAATATATAGTAATACCAAGAGAAGGGTACATTTCTGCCCACAGACTAAGCGATTCCGTTGTTATTCATAGGTGAAGTGTTGCAAATGGGGATTTTCCTCTCTGCCTCTCCTGCGCCTGCTATAATTTGGAATGAAAACATCGTTGATGAGCCTAATGATCGATCCCAATTCAAGGGTCCTTCCCTTAATAAGGCTCAAGTGATGGGATGATGACAGTTCCCAATGATGTTAAGATAGGTCACTTTTTATTTTCTGTTCTATCCAAGAATCCCTCCAAAGGAGAAGAAACCCATGGCTAGTTGAAATCTTTCAGCTGATTTTTTTTTTAAAAAAAAAAATAGCACTATTAGCACTATTTATGTTATAGTCGGGGTTAATGTAATTAATTTGGGATGTTAAGAAAAGATATGCCATGAAGATTTTTTTTTTTATCAAGACAGAGTTTTTACAAAGTTATAGATCGGCTTGAGCAAAAGAAAACCACAGGGAATGTATTGCCTACTTTATTTCACTAAATAAATGGCCAGCTGCTTATTTACTTTATGATCTGATGGTCTAGCCTGTAAATGGTGAGGGAGAGAGAGATCTGAGTGAGTATACATGTATACATACATATTTATTTAATGTTATGTGAAAGTAACCCAAAACATTGGCTAAATCTGTCCTTACTATATTTCCTGAAGGCTCAAAGGCCGTTTAAAGGCATGTTTGTGTTTTTAAAGTACAGTATGATAAAACTGCATTGTTCCCAACAATTGTACCAGAATAACAACCTTATTTAAAACACACACACACATACACAATCAATCAGAATCCTGAGCCCCTTAATCTTTTTGATTACAAAATAAAACTGTATTGATGGATATTCCACCATGGCTTGTTGCTTTGTGCTATCTGATGTTCTTTAGAAACAAAGTGTGAATGTTGCTATTTTAGTATGTTCAAGATAGGTTTAAAAATTACTCTCTGATTACTCAAAACTGATTACTCAAAAATGGCAGCATTGGGCCAACCTTTATCATAGTGTTTCTCAGTGTGGCAGCCTGAAAATGGATGGACTTCAACTCCCAGCAATGTTGGCTGGGGAATTCTGGGAGTTGAAGTCCACCCATCTTCAAGCTGCCAAGGTTGAGAAACACTGCTTTATCAGAATTTAAAAGCTAAACAGAGTCAAATATGGCTACCCATTGGGATGGGTAACTACCCATCTTTGGGCCTTGACTGGGTTAAGAAGTTGAATATCATCTTGGAAGATAAGACAATGGCAAACTGTTTCATACTGGTTGCTATTACATATATGAGACACAACGAATTACATTTGGAAGCAAATTACTTTAGTTCTAAATATTTAGTCAAAATGGGCCTGAAAACCTGATGGTATGTGTCACTATTCTGCTGTATTCATTGCCATACTCTTATAAATAATTTTATAGCATTTCCTGCCATTTGATAGGTTTGCATTTTTTTCAGATTGAATTGTTTTGTAGGAAAAGCTACCATATTTTTCAGACTATAAGACGCATCAGAGTATAAGACGCACCTTAGTTTTTTGGGGGGAAAATAAAAAAGCTGATTGGGGGTGGTTTGGCCTCCCAGAATCAGCTGTTCTCAGAGGTGAACTTTAGCAATAGGTTCATTGGTTGTGAGCTCTGCACCTTGCTTTTTTTCCCCAGCCTTTGAAACCTCCGTTTCAGAGGCTGGGCAGGGTTACATTCAGATTATAAAACGCACCCAGATTTTCACTCTCCTTTTGCATCTAATACTCCGAAAAACACAATATATTATTTTGAATGTAAACTTGATTTGAAAAATTATCCTGTATTTAAGGTGGATTTTTTTTTCTATGAAAGACCTTTATGAGCACACAAATATGAATACTGGATATTTCCAACCCAGATGTAGACTGAATTCTTCTCTGAAGACCGCTCATTCAGATAACTAGCAGAATTAACAGGCCTCATGTTAAACAGTTCCATTCCCAATTATATGCACGGCCCTGGCTTGCTAGTTCTTTTATTTTAGAGTTGCCGTTCCAAAGTATCTCGATATAGCATCCTAGAGAGTGTTGAGAAATGTTCCAATAAAAAATAAAAGATAATCTTTGCAGCACTTGTAAAATAAAACCCACAGGGCATGTAACAGTTTGAGTATAATAGGAGTAAGGAATCTTAAATCTGTATTTAGTTTGGTGCAGGGTATGGAGGACTGCACTTAAAAAATGGCAGTGTGGGAAAACGGGATGCATTAATTGTAAATATAGTCAACATATGAATGAAGACAATAAATATCTCTGTCTAACAATAGTAATCTCCAAGAGGCCTAAAAGATGATTGAAAGGCATAGCAGATGTGTCAACTGACATTTTTTTACACTTTGATCACCATTTTTTCTTTTTCCTGAAATTACACATATACAGGGAGTCTTCAACATACAACCATTCATTTAGTAACTTTTCAAAGTTAAAACGGCACTGAAAAAAGTGACTTATAATCATTTTTTACATTTATGACCATTGCAGCAGCCCTGTGTTCACGTAATCAAAATTCAGGTGCTTGGCAAGTGGCTTATATCTATGACTGTTGTAATGTCCCAGGGTCATTTGATCACCTTTTGCAACCTTCTGAAAAGCAAAGTCAATGGGGAAGCCAGATTCACTTAACAACAATGTTACTAACTTAATAACTGCAGTGATTCACTTAACAACTGTGGCAAGAAGGGTTGTAAAATGGGGCAAAACTCATTTAACAGATGTCTCTCTTAGCAACATACATTTCGGGCTCAATCGTGACCGTAAGTCAAGGACCCCCTGTACATAGGCATGCATAGAGCCTGCTTTGTCACCAGTTTGGGCATTTAAAAGCATGGAAAAGACTGAAAAGTTTAGAGTCCTGCAAAAAGTGTTTATAAAATGTATATTTAGGCATGAGTCTGAAATTCATGGTATCCTGGATATTATTCTTTTTAAAAAAATTTCAAGATCTGTAGACATGCAAACATCTCAATTATTTTTGAAATCACTGAAGAAATATCACACGGTTTCCAGAGTCCTGATTCTTAGCGTATAATTAATCTTATTAACCTCTGGCAAAGAGAGTATCACTTAGAATGCCCATCATGAGTCTCTGCTCCTTTGTCCCCATGTGTTTTGATGATGGCGGCTGATTATTTTTTCCAATCATCATCACTCTGTGGAGATATGGTAGTTATTAATTGTAGAGGTTTCATTATGGGCCATCCTTTCTGTCTGTTAGCATAACATGAAATATGTGGTATTTGGGTCTCACCCCCAGGATGCTTTTGCAGGTGGCTGGGTATTGCCTCCTTTGGTGTCCCAGAGAAATTGGGTTGTGGTAACCTGCCGCTGAATGGTCACCAAAAGGACCTGTGCAAGAAGAAGCCCTACCTCCTGCACAGCATCCGAGAAGGAGCACGCTTGGGCATCCGTGAATGCCAGAGCCAATTCAGACATGAGCGGTGGAACTGTCTACTCTCTCCGGATACAGTGCCTGCACTTTCCACTAATCCTTCATCCATCTCCGCCTCTTCTGCTTTCTCCGTCTTTGGCTATGAGTTGAGCAGCGGTAGGTTCTTATTTGGCAGCACTGGTGGTTGGGCGGTCCTTTGGATGGCTTAAGCCTGAACTCTTGCATCAATGTTGGCCAAGCTAGATCAGTTCTCGTTAGCCCAGGAGTGATACTATCTGACAACTTGGATCATCCAATTTCATAATTTGAAGGCATGTAAATATATTCATTTCTGAAAAAATCATGGAATATGAACAAAAATTTCTTATGGAAAAGTTATGATTTACCGTGCTGTCTCATTTATACTGTTTCAGCATATTAGTCCCATTAATGGCTCAGATGTTCATTGATTGGATTGGATTGGATTGACTCAGATAGAACTGATTTTCTTGAGTGAAACCAGATGGTCCAACTCTTAGTTGCCTTAATGATTAATCACAGAACATACTGTACTTCTGATATTTTTAACATATCCTTTTTTTTTTGTAGGTACCAAAGAAACAGCATTTATCTATGCTGTGATGGCAGCTGGCCTAGTGCACTCAATAACACATTTATGCAGCACAGGGAACCTGACTGACTGCGCCTGTGATTCCATGTTACAAAACAGCGGCTCAGCCAGAGAAGGCTGGCACTGGGGTGGATGTTCTGATGATATCCAGTATGGAATGTGGTTGAGCAGAAAGTTCTTAGATGGTCCAACAAAAAACATCTCCAGAAAAGATAGAAATGGATTGATGGTCATGAATCTGCATAATAATGAAGCAGGAAGATTGGTATGGATTTGAATCTTTTCCACTCCATTCTTCTCTCCCACATATCCATGAATACTGATGAGAGGAAGTTACACATTTCTTTTATTTAGGTCCTGTGTTAATATGGGGCTCATGCAATCATAGTAACGTTTATCTGTTTGCTCTCAATGTTTAGCTCCACCTGGGCAAATGAGAATGGAGAGCCTTTGAGATGTTACTGGATTACAAATCCTAGTCTCCCTTACCATTGAATATGGTGGCTGGGTCTACTGAATGTTGTAATTCAGTAACAACTGAATTTCCATTAAAGAAGCTTTTTCCACCAGGGTGCTCTTCAGAATGAGTTGCACTGAAGATAATGCACTTTCTGTGTGGAAGTTAAGCTTTGAGGAAACCACATATATTTGTGGGTACATGCAGTCTGAAAGTACTGGGAAGTTGCCAGTTCTTTGAAGTAGGTCAAATATTCTCACAAGAAATATTGGAACTCTGATTTAAAGTACTGTTATAGGCTCAGTAACAGCTGAGTAACTGCTTTTCTTTCCCTCCCCGTTATACCAAAAATAATCAGGGACGGATCGTGCTACGTTTTCTTCCCCCGCGCCCCCCCCCCCTTTTAAAGTATTCTTTAAGATTTCTTGGGCTTTGCTTGTATTCTACCTCATTTATCCTTCGATATCATCTCTGGTTTTCTGCACAAATCACCGATACATTTTTCCTACAGAATGAATATTGAGGTCCTAGGTGGCACACGGAGCCATATCTGTGGGCACGCAAGCATTGCCCTAGCTCAGCTCCAATCCTCATGCGTGCACTGGCCAGCTGACTTCTGGGCCTTTCGGGCCCACTGGAAGTCAATTCTGGCCTCCAGAGGGCCTCCAGGGAAGTGGGGAAGGCCGTTTTCGCCCTCCCCAGGCTCCTAGAAAGCCTCTGGAGCCTGGGGAGGGCAAAAAATGGGCCTACCAGGCCCACTGTGCCATCACGTGCCAAAAGCAGGGTCGTACAGGGGGGTCGTGCGTGCATGCACGGGGGGCAGGGCGCATTGAATTATGGGTGTGGGCACTTGCGCGCTCGACCCCCCCCCATGCTCCCCCCTGCTTTTGGCACACGATGGCAAAAAGGTTAGCCATCACTGTCCTAGCCCTTCAGAGAAATCCGAATTGTTCCAGGAACAGTAAAGCAGTAAAGGCTATCAAAATGACACATACAGCCACCTTTCCCTTCAGAGCAGAAAGATACAGACGTTATATTGTGTATGGGATTTTGTGTGATTTAATGAGAGCAGGAAGCTATACTCCATACTGCTTTACAAAAGGTCTAAAGCCGATGATGAATACACAAGCTGCTGCCACTTTGTCCACTGTTCAATATAACTTATCCCATGGCTGAAGAAGCAAGCTGTTGCCTAGTTTAAAAACAGACTTTTTTGGTCCATATGAAAACTGCATTCATTATTTGTGTTATATAAGGGAAAGCAATTTCTAAATTAAAAAAAAGAGACACAAATGCTTTGGAATATGCTTGGTGTGCGACCTAAGAGGAGAGTTGATCCTTTCTGATTGTGGTTTGCTTTAATTTTTTCTTCAGGCAGTAGCAAAACTGATGTCCATCGACTGCCGCTGTCACGGCGTATCTGGTTCTTGTGCTCTGAAAACTTGCTGGAAAACTATGTCATCCTTTACAAAAGTTGGCAGTTTTTTAAAAGAAAAGTATGAGAACAGTATCCAGATTTCTGACAGACTAAGACGAAAAATATGCAGGAAAGAAAAGAGCCAGCAGAGCATCCCAATCCAGAAAGAAGATCTGCTCTATATCAACAGATCGCCCAATTACTGTATGGAAGATCGCAAACTGGGGGTCTCTGGGACACAAGGGAGGGAATGCAACCGCACATCAGTTGGACCGGATGGATGCAACCTCCTCTGCTGTGGCCGTGGATATAACACACAAGTGGTCAGGCATGTGGAGAGATGTGAGTGCAAATTTGTTTGGTGTTGCTATGTACGCTGCAGAAGATGTGAAACTGTGACTGACGTTCATACTTGCAAATGAAAGTAATTGTCTCAAATATCTTTCATGGATCATGCAAAAGAAAAATGAACATTCTCTCTGGAGTCCAAGGTTGAAAGCTTTTTGTTTTTGTGGAAAAAGCAACAAAAAGGAAGAAATAGCAACGAATCACCTGGGAACTTGTATTTCATGAGGAATTTGCATACTTAGATGGTTTGTTTGTGTAATTCAGTCCACAATGGCTGTGGATTTTCAGTATTTCAGTCACATGCAGTGCTTTAGTGAATTTAATGGCTAAGCAAATCAGGCTAGCTTAGATTTAACATTCAGAAGTTAAAATAATATCCTCTTTAAGGCATCTTGCTCTCCTGTATTGAGAACATTCTGTTTATAAAATAGCGATAAAATCATTTGCACAGAATTTGTAGTTGGGAATGACACTGAGGTTCAAACATCCAAGACACAAAGCATCCATGATTTGGTTAACCAATCACAACCAAAACATTGGCTCTGTAGGTTTCAGGGTAGATTTTATATAGGTAGTCCTTGACTTATGACTGGTGACTTAGTAACCATTGGAAGTTACAGTGAATCCTGAAAAAGGGACTCGCAACCTGGATTCTTCCGTATGACCTCTTCCCTGCAGTCCTGTGACTATGTTTTGGATGTTCGGCAACCAGCTACATTTACAGCCATTTGCAGCATCCCATGATCAACATGGTTTTTTCCCAGTAACACCCGTTTTCTTCTAGTTTCCAGCAAAAAATGCCCCATAGTGAACAATGGGTTGCTTAATAACTCTGGTGTTTACTTAATGACCATGGCATTCCCTTTACAACTGCTGCATTCACTTAACTGTCACAAACCAAGTAATAAAATCAAGCACTTTTGTGATGACCTGCTTTATGATGATCACAACTTGCAATAAAAATCACAGTCTCAATTAGTGTCATAAATCGAGAGCTAGTCTCGATTAGCTGGATAACTTCGTTAGTATTATCACTGATTAGTCCTAGCACTGATGATGTTACCTAGTTTGGGTAATGAAACATCTGCAAGAAAACATCCAAGCACAGAAAGCACCAAGGATCCCTCATTTCAACGCTGAACTACAAATATTCTATCAGAGAGAGAGAATTGTGTATTGTACAGTATTACAATACAGTATTGTACAGTAGTATTCAAGTACTGAAGTGTGTTTCTGTTTTCCCTTGAGGCTTCTTGATCAGGTCTACATTGTGATGCATTTCAGAGCAGTCTCGTTTAAAAAAGAAAATAGGTGTGATGCTGATTTGTAAAGATACTGTACAGTGTACCATGAAATAAATAATGTACCTGTTGAGGACCCCTTCAATATGGAAATAAATACAAGTCACTTATGAAGGCAATTGCAGATTGCACAGCTGCCTACATAGCTTTATCAGAGGTACTTTATTCTTATACATTCTTATAAACTGTATTCTTAAACTTATAAACATGCCAGTTGCCAAGGGTCCAAATTTTGATCATGTGGTCATGGGGATGCTGCAATGAGAATATGAAAACAGTCATATAGCAATAGCACTTAGACTTTTATACCACTTCACAGTGCTTTACAGCCCCCTCTAAGCGGTTTACAGAGTCAGCATATTGCCCCCAACAATCTGGGTCCTCATTTTTACTGACCTCGGAAGGATGGAAGACTGAGTCAACCTTGAGCCTATTGAGATTCGATCTACCAAACTGCTGGCAGCCGGTGATCAGCAGAAGTAGCCTGCAGTACTGCACTCTAACCACTGTGCCCCCGGGGCTTATATATTACCAGTACCTTTTTCAGTGCCATTGTAACTTCATTTACTAAATGAATGGTTAAGTCAAGGAGTACCTGTATCATATACACACCAAAGGGAATTATCTTGGTGCAAGATATCAATGACAGAATCATTCTTCTGCATCTATATTTCATAAGTGCTTCATTTCCCATTATTGACCAGATTGCTGACATTAACTACTTTTTGTAGAAATGGAAAGAGGATGTTTGGTATTGTGTTGGGATGAAGAGAGTGTTTTCTAGTGTTCTTTTCTATGTACCATTCAGGATATAGGATTGCAACTTTAAATATTACTCTAATTGAATTGGAAGCAATCCAATTTGCTCCCCAAGATTTTCTTTCGTTGTTTGAAACTTAATTTTCTGATACATAAAGGAGCTTGATCCCCCCCCCACCCACTGGATATACAAACTGTTAGTAAGTTGTAACTAGCAATATCTGGAAGACTATAGGCCCCATTCTTCGACTACATCCATAGATCTGTTGTATTTTTTGTGGTTATGGAAAGTTGTGCACGTGCAGTACTTCTCTTAATTCATTATCCATACCAGGGATTTCTCTTCCTTTCATAGATACTGTAGCTATAGAAATATTCCACTCTTTAATGCAAAGATGTTGGCTATTTTTTAAAAAATTGCCCCCTTGATCTGACAGGAACAGTCATCTGGTTACGATCTCCTCAATAGGTTGGTTTGGCTTGGTTTGCTGTATCTCTGCCTTTGAAAATTTTTTCCAGCATCAACAATATCAGAATAATGAAGGGATTTGAAGAATCCTCTAATTTTATCCCAAAACAGAATGTTTATTAGCTCTCACAGAGCTCACTTCCCAGCCACTGTTTAATATAAAATCGGGTTGGCTTATGGTTCTATAAACATTCCAGCAATACCACACAATGTAGTCCAATTTTGCTTGGATTAATTCTGCATGTTCTTAATTTCAGTGAGCTTGATTCCCAACTAAATGTGTATCAGATTGCATCTACCTTCATTACAGTCTATAGATTATAGACGTAGTTCCTCCATTAAATACTGTGTTTCCCAAAAAATAAGACCCTGTCTTATATTTTTTTGAACCCTGAAACAAGCGCTTGGCCTCTACTTAATGTTCTTCAGCCTCTCAAAAACACAGAAGTAGACAGAAAAGCTCAATTCTGTTAAGATTATTTACAAAGAGAGAATTGAGATTCAAGAGCACCTTTCAAAACACATTGGGAATAATGTATGTTACTGTTTTTCTAGGTTAAGAACAATTTTTGCTGCTATATTGAGATTACCTGATTTTTGTTTATTCTCATTTTGTCAATAAAATATTAACATATGTGTTTACTTGCCTTTCTCTATTATCAGAACTAATTAACAGAAACAGCAGCAAGTATACAGATAAGATGGTGGCTGGAGATCCCCTTCTCCTGAAAGGTTTATTGCCAGTAGCTTTTTGTCAATCATTCTTAAAACTGGAAAGCTACAAAAACTAGCATGGCATGTTATCAGCAGTATTTTAATAGCTTTAAGATGGGGGAACATATCAAAATTTAAGATAGGGGAACATCTCAAAAATCAAATTATATGGAACATCAGACTGAAGTCAACTATAATGATCACAGAACAATAGAACTTGAGGGGCAAGAGGTGCTTAGGGACCTGTAACTTATTTAAATACTCTTACTTTTCTCAGGCTGAGAAAAGTATATTTTTAGGCAAAGCACCCATTCCCCATGGCAGGTATTTTAAAATAGTTTGATCTGCATGACCAAGTGCACAGAGCTGGAATACAAAATGTGATAGTTAGGAAAATTTGATTCACAAACAATAAACATCCATACAATATGTACAGCATTTGTTCACAATAGCAAGATGATGTTAACCTCAATGGCCCATAGAGTGCAATGCTTCTGTAGCTGTGTTTTGTGAAGGAACATACAGTGCCAATAGAGAATTCCACATTTAATCAAATAATACTTTTCTGCAGTTCCCAACAAGGATTTAATCAGCAATATTTTGATCAGGTAAGTCAGTGTGCCACACTATATATTTTGTGATTTAAGTTACAGGTCAACTGATTGTCACCTGTTGATACATCAGTACTGAGCCACTGAGAGCAGCACTTAATCAGAATATTTTGTTAATTCAGTTTTGTCACATTCTTACCATATTTTGTAAATGCTTATCCCTGTCATTCTTGTCTATCCCCCCCCCCAAAAAAGAAAATAACCAAAAAAAATATACCAAGTACAAGGGGTTCTTCCTGAGCAGGTCCATATTTTGTTTTTTAAAACTTTATTTAATGAAAAAATATAATACACAGACAAGTGATTTTACTTCAATGAACATAGCTGGAGAATCTGCAAAGTACTTTACAAATAATCAGTCTGACTGTTTATGATGTACTTATTGCTAAGCTACAGCAAATTAAAGAAAAAGATAACATGAACAGGTTAAAACAGTAAAGTAGCTCATATTCCAGTCATCAAATCGTAGCATTGAAAAGCTAGACGTTTCTCTTAAACTACATAAAGTAATTAATCCCCAGTATTGCTTTAATATTTTCAGTGCAAATAATATTTCTTTACTCCAATACTAGCTTCTAAGCCCAACTTTTCTTTCCAATATTTTTTTAAAATGGATATTTTTAATCACCTCAATTCAGATGACAATATACATATTGACAGGATCTATTCTGACATCTCAGCAAACAGTTAATCATACTTTACTTCTTGCTAAAGTCTCTCTGTAAAACAGAGATGTCCAAAATGCTTGTTCATTGTTTGAGTTGGAAAACAACTGCAAAATTGCCACTGTCATCTTTACAAAAAAAGGGGAAAAAAGGACAATCCCAAGAGTCATACTTATATCTTCCTATAAGCATCTTCCCACAAGAGGCATCTTAGAGTTTTCCCTTTCCCAGATGCTTTCTGAAAATGAAGGGGGGTGGAAATAATTTTTGCAGGCATTGTGATCTAGTGCAGTTCCATGATATCGAGAGAGTGGGAGGTTTCCTGGGCATCCCAAAACTCCCTGTGAACCTGTCTGACTTTTACCCTCTAATGCCATTTGAACAGGAGTGTCAAACTGGCAGATGTGGGCCGGATGCGTCATGGGCAGGCCATGCCCACCCCAGCTCCATGAAGGGAAAAAATGTCATGATACGTCACGTGATGGCAACATGACGGCGCGAGTTTGACCTTGGTGCATTAGAGGCACCTAGAACTGTAAGCCAACTTGCTATAATTCAATTAACACAATGTCACTATGAAGCAATGTGAATTATTAAAAAGGGGGATCATTGTGCCCTTCCCTGCTGCTGTACGTAGGACAAGAAAATGGGGAGATGACATTTGTGAGAAGAGAACTGTCTGGAGACCTCAAATGCATTCTGTATAAGCACCTGCAAAAATATGATTTAGTGAGGTCTATCTAGTTAGATCAGCCAATCTAAACAGTAACGTTTTCACTCTAGGAAAACATGTTCCCCAGTGGATTTTCTTTCCCCAATAGTCAAGCCTATCATGCAACTGAAACTATCTCTGAAAAATGTCCAATTAAGGAGTGATACACACCAGGTCACTTCCAGGAGGAATTTTTTGTTTGTAAAAATATGCAATTCCATACTTCCGAGAAAACAGAGTAACTGCCAACATTGGCTTCTTTTTATGATTTTGCAAGACCTCAACCAATTCTCTTATCCTCTGGATCTCAGGTCTTGTTAAAAAAAACCTCTTAGTTGAACACACAAGAAACAATTACATTATTCTGCCATATTAGCAGCTTGCATTGCTAACAAGAAATATGGGGTACGGATGAGTTAACAATTGCAACAGACACAGTGTTATACATTTGATTTTAATGAAAAGCATTTAATTGTGCTTTGTAGAGCAGTCCTACATTTTTGTATCAAACATCCACCCTCTGTATCTGAAAGGGGTCACTGAAGAATGTGGTTTTCCAACAGACATAGCATAAAAATAGTTAACTATTTTTCCCTCTAAAATTTACATACCCATGTAAATATATGCACACAGCAATGTTGTAGTTGAACAGGATACAACAAAGCTCAGGATTAGCTCAACTATTCATTGTGTATCTCTAATTACTTTTGAGGGAAGACATTTACATACAATAAATGGCTTTAGAAACAAGGGAGAAAGAGAAGGAAGAATAAGAATGCTCAGAAACAATTGTTCTGTTTGTTTAGGGCCTATTTACAAAAAAGAAAAAAGAGACAGAAAAAAGAATCTCTTCAGTTTAACAATAAATAAGCCTGATGTTTTTAAAAAAAAAAAGTTCATGCACATTTTAAAGTGAAAACATGCCTGGAAATTATTTACATAGGGCACAATCCAGCAGGATAAGTATTTCACATGCCCAGTCAAATGAATTGGTGCAATTTACCATCACTTTGCACAGCTTTTTAATGTGCCTTGTGCATCAAGCCATGCTAGTATGATGGAGTTCACACTTGGCTTCTATCTTCTCAAATCCCACAATCTCACAGCAGCAGAAAAGTGCATTTTCCCCTCCACTGTTCTTTTGCATTGTCTATTTCCAATTGCAGATTGTTCATTCTAGCTTCTGTGGAATACATCCTTCAATTTCCACAACCTCTGGCCATCCTTCATACTTGTTGGTGTCCTTGTTGTTTTTAATATGCTGCAAAGAGAAAGCCATTTCAATTTAAATGTAAGTATAGTTAGGGTTGCACTGAAACACAAGATTTTCTAACTTAAAAAAACAGTATTTTTATTTATGTTGGGTGGTACAAAATGATATGTCCTGCTGCATTTTTCCAAGATGAGAAATATATAAAAAAGAAAAGTTCTAGATAAAAGAACAAAAAGCTGAATGAAATATGAGAGCTAATAGACAACAATGCTCTTAGTCTGAATATTAGCATAGAAATCGGTGTAAGAATTTTCTGCTATTATTTTCAAATAACATGTATACAGAACCTACTTATTTTCCTCCTAAGAATCTATAGTGATTGACCACCATTATCATCATAATGCCAGGGGTTGAGGAAAAGCAATTGGAAAACAATATGAAATATTAGGACTTGGAGACTGAAGTTGAATGAAGTTGAGATTGCAAAGAAATCTATTGTTAAACCAATCATGATTAGAGCCCTTGGAGTAATATTTAAAGGACTTCCTTGATATCTGGAAATGTTGAATTTATCAGACCTGAACACTCTAATTTACCCAAAACAATTCTGCTTAGAATTGCCTGTGCTCTTAAGTGCTACCTTAATAATTCTTAGATCCTTTGTTAGGACTTGAATTGTTAAATTTCCTCCAGTTTTAGACTAACTGTAGATTATCCATATATAATAACATCTGCCTATCCCAGGTTCTTGAGAAGGAAGACACCAAATCCAGTCTAAGTATCTGGATAAATATGTGCAACCATATTTATAATACAATAATATGTAGCAATAGTAGAAACAGAAATAATTTAGCAGCTTCAAACAGGAAAAAATGGCATCAAAGTAACACATCAGGAACAGAAATAGTTAAGATGCTTAAAGAATAGGGAACAAACGAATGTTCAGAATGAAGATATTTAGATTTCAATTTCAAAATCTTCCTCAAACAATTGATATGACCCTAGGAAATTCTGAGCAAGGCACTAAGACTGTTCAGTGATCCAGAATTGAAGGGAGAATGATTTTGATGAAATATGATGGTACTCATGTACCATGTCACTGCAACTTGATAAATATTCATTAGATGTAAGCAGAAGCACTCTATATATGACTCCAAAGACTTTTATTCTTCAAATCCAAATCAATCCAGACCCTCTTCCTAATTCCAATTAAGTATCTTTTCAGTTACTGAAGTGCATCTCCCAGATTAGCTGACCAAAATGAATCAGCAACACTTCCAGGATGCAATGTATGTTTTGGGCTCAAAAGACACTCCAATATGTCATCTAAACTTTAACGTGAAAACATACCTGTTCAAAAGGACTTTTAGTTTTGATTCCTTTCCCACCACAGAAAACCCAATTGTCTCTGAAGCCAAGCGTCATGATGGATGTACTCCCCAAATCTGATACTAGTTTCCGTGCCTCTTCAGTAAGCCTTCAACAGAATTTTAAGAATTACTATAGAAATGTAATATTATCTAGAATATAATTTACCAAATTGATTCATATAAAAACTTTGCTTCATATTTATTGAAATTTTGTCTTTATTGGTACAAATAATGTACACTTTCACACATATGTACATTATTCAGCGACCTCTGTGGAACGATCACAACCCCGTTTTAAAATGACCACATTCTTGGAAGGACAACATGTCTCCTTTTAGCTCTTATCTAATTATAATCTACTAGAAAGCAAATATGACAAATCAGTATTGTATTTCCAACAGACTTACTTGGTGGCACCATCATCATATGTTGCCATTAATACAATAGTTCCATCTGCAATATTCTTCAGAAATTCAATGAATGGGGCTACATCTACATTAAATGGAAGCACAACAACATTTATTATTTATTAAATTTATACAACTGTTCATCTTGCAAAGTGACTAACATGATATCGAACATTAATATAAAAATAAATGCCAAAGGCAAAAAAAGAACATAAATTATATGTGACTGCCAAAAAAAGAAATGCCACCCCATTTTGATTTACAAGATTTTCATTCAAAACTCATATTTTAATTCAAAATATCTAATGCAAAATTGAAAAGCAACATTTGTCAAGTTTTGGTTATTAGAATTACTTTAGCTTTAATAAACCGGATTTTATTAATAAGCATGCTAATGTCTACTTTAAATAGGTGAACAAGTAAAATAACATATTAACTATTTTATAAAATAAGCACATATTTCTGCACTTACCTCCACCCCACATATCAAAGTATTTTGTGTCCACTACTTCACCTGTTTTGCCTAGCAAAAGGAATAAGACACCATATGCAATAAATCACCATATACTGTTTATGAAGAAGTAATATATAAAGATAAAAAGAACTGCTCTCTATTAATGGGTTTATGATTAGAAATATAGTCTAGGAACATATATACTCAAAATCAGATAAGGGCTAATATGGATTTCTTTGTACAGAACAGCAACTGGTATCATTAAAACATGCTGTATTGGTGATTTGTGCTTGACAATAAGTAAGTGGCAAATACTAAATATGCTAGAAAAATATGATAGAAAAATATGTTTTTCTATCTTTGTATACAGTAATGTTGATTTTTAGCAAGAGCAAATGTTCATCAAGCATGCTGCCCTGCAGATTCTATAACTGTGCAAATTTGACAAAATAATTATTTCCAAACTTTCGAAGATATTTAGGAGCCAGGACCCACTTTGATCAGCTAATGAAAATTAGAGTGGCAGAATTCCCGTTTTCTACCATTATTTTAAATTTTTACTGACACCCCTCACCCCACTAGTAGCAGGAACAAGTTTGGGCCAGAAGCAGCTTTTCACTTCTTGTCGGTTTAATAGCCAATTTATGTTAAATTACTGCCTTAATTACCATGAGAACAAACAAATCAATTAAACATATTTCACCTAATTTTTTAAAAAAATCTAAATTAAAAAAGAAAGATAAAGATGACTTCTGCTGACTATGCAAAGACATCACAATTTTCTTGACAGAATGTGGCTTGCTATCTTTTTCAGAGATTTTTTTTTAATTGTGTTCGTCCATCCTTAGCTTTGTTTCTGAGCCTAGTAATAGGCATAGCTACCCTCTGAAATTTCATTTAATTATTCTACCACGAACCAATGCCAAGGAAAGCACACCCTTATGTATTAAAAATAAACATGGATTTTTGTGTTATCAATAGAGCACCATTCACAAACAACATAAACACACACTAAACCAGGAAATGGAAAAAAGGGAAATGTGACAGTGGCAGAAGCAGTCAAGAATGAAATATTATATTATAACTCTGAGCTGCAATAATTAGATCTATTTATAGATAAGGAAAATGTGTACTAGTTTAAAGTGGCCCTGTTTCCATTGAAGCACTGGGGGGGGAGGGAAGCGGAATAGTCAAACGACCTAAATCTGTTAGTCTAAGGCTTACAATTGTTGGCCTGTTTGGGACTAAAGTAATCCCCACTCTTCAAATGACAGTCATGTCATCTGAACAGATGAGCTGCTTTATATGGCAGACACAAAGTCCTGGTGTGGCATCACAAAAGTGGAGTATGTGGAGCTACTACAGTTCTTAGATACCCCCAGATAAGTTTGGGGAGAGGGGAATTGAAAGGGGGGGGGACAAAATATGGAATGGATATGCTACTTTGGCCCTGTCCACAGTGGCATTGAATCAATCAATTCTAGCAGAGTAGAGAAACAAGGCACAGAAGTGAGAAGGAAAATGCTCACATTTGAACATCTTTTGGAGAGGCTCCTAACTATGCTCCACTGATGAATAAGATAAATAGGTGCAAAGAGGATGTCTTGGGCAGACATGTACAAACACTTACCATTTACTAGGGCTATATTAATGCCCCTCCCCACATTGTTTTTAACACCACTCATCAAGCTGAAACAAAACAAATGAAGATAATTACAATAAGCTTTTTGTCTTGTTAACTTCTGATTGCACACCTTGGAGGGGGCATGACTCTTGACAACAACAACAAAAAAACTCCACAAGAAACGTGGCCACCATTCTTAGCTGTTCAGGTTTGTTAAATAAAATCTGCACAAAAGTTGTCCCCTTTCTTAACCGCTGTCATTTTAATTATCACCAGGCAAGCTTGTAGCATATGAAGAACAGCAGAGCAGATTACCTTTCATCTTGAATCAAGTCAGTTGAATTACACAATTAGGTCTACTCAGCTATGGAAGCAAGAAATCATATCTACAGAATTAGATACAGGAACCTTCCTAGCCCCTCACATAGGAAACATCTTGAAATGTAGCAGCACGCTTGCCACAAATGAGCTAATTGAACCCATGGCCCTTTGTTCCTAAGAAACTAGAACTGTTTTTACTGTTACATAATTCCTAACTGAACAAGCTGATTTGCAAGCTGGTACGTCCGGCATTATCCCCGATTATAATTTATGTACAGAAAGTGAAACAAAAGTATGAAGCTCAAGATATAGCAGTTGTTTAATATCAACAGAGAGGAATAAAAATTCTGATGTGATCTTTATATAGTTTATACTACTCTTTAACACTTTGTTGCCTTCCTTCTGTGATGAATTACAATTCCCATTATTCCCAGTCACAATGGACATTATAACCCATACCAAAGGGAGAACACTTCATTGGAAAGATCAGAATCTAACACACAATATGATCTCAGCAAAAGGCATTTGAACTAAGCACTTGCAAAGAAAGGAAAGATGCATTTCCAGCAACATTTAGTAATGTAGAAGATTTACCACAAGAGGGGGACAACACATCGCTTTTAGATTTCTTACTCAAATATTGAACAACTATTCCTGAAGAGTGAAAAGTAAAGTTAAGGACAGTAAAATACTATTCAATGAATTATCAGATTTGGGGTAATATTAATATTTCATATTAATTTTGGGGCATTTCTTTCACCTAGAGACAAGTTCTCTAATTTGGCAGCTTCCAAGTGTGTGCACTTCAACTCCCAGAATTCTCATCAGAGCTATGTTGGCTGTGGAATTATGGGATTTGAAGTCCAAACATTGGTTAATGAGATCAACTGAAGTTGGAGAAAAATGCCATTGTTTGCCACAGATATTCTTCCACACCTACTTGGCTAGGATGGGTTCAAAAAATTCCTAAACCGTGAATCTAAGTCTACCAGTAGAGGGAATTTCTACTTCAAATATCACTTTAAGAATCAAGATAGCATGTTTCCCCCAAAAAATGACCTACTCAGAAAGTAAGTCCTAGCTTGATTTTTACACGTGCGCTGAATATAAGCCCTCCCCCCCAAAATAAGCCCTAATTAAGACCCCGACCACTCCATGGTGCACAGGTAAAAATCAAGCTAGGGTGGGGATGGGGGGGTGGAGCTGCCCTTCTACATACCTTCGGATAGTTGCAGTCAGGCCTCGCACACTTCGGCCCATTTCTTCTACAGCCGGCAAGGCTTTCTTGAAAGCCTCTCTAGCCAATAACAGAGCTCCAGATCGATCTGAAGCTCTGTTATCGACTGCAAAGGCCTTCAGGAAAGCCTTGCCGGACGAAGAAGTTCCTGAAGGCCTCCAATAGTGAAAAAGAGGCCAGGGGCGATGCACACAAGTGAAGTGAGTCAGTGGATGACATCGCCCCTGAAAATAAGACCTGGTGCCTTTTTTGGTGGCAAAAAAATATAAGACAATAATAATATATTATATTTTTGGGGAAACATGGATAGGTTTGAAAGCACAAGCTTTACTTGATAACTAAGCTTACAAAATTGTGGGCCACAATGAAAGAACAACGCTGAGCCTTTGAATCTGACATTCAGTTATGCTGAAATGTCTTCCTGATAAAGCAAGAATTTGAGTTTTAATTGAAACAAAAATCAAAATGAAAGACTTCAATTAGATGTGCAAGACAGATATTTTTGGTGAGTGTGTATTTCTGAAAACCATTTTTATAGGTCAGGATACTAAAAAAGTAAAACCGCTAACCAAAGATGCTCAGAGGGAGAATGGAGACATCCTCTTAGTGAATTGCGTCTAGTCCTTCATGGCCAATTGCTGAGGGAGGGATAAGGCCAGTTGATAAAGAAGATGTAGAAACTCTATCTTGGGGGGTTCTGCAAGCAAATTGCAGAAGATTGCATGCTGCCTTGGAAGCAAATATTGAATATATATTTTAATTAGGTCAGGCCAATATATTCTGCATTAGGAGGGAAGTCATGAAAACTCTGCCGCTGATCCTTAGGGCATAATGAGAAAGACGTTAATGTATTGTTATAAATGATTCTCATATTTTCAAATCACCCTGAATATTTATTGATGTACAGCCATACAGTCACATTCCCATTCAATATGTCGATTCTGATCATCTGGATAACCTGTGAGTGGGTTGATAGTATTCTAGAAATTTTCCTGAACAGAAAGTTATTTGTGGTCTTTCAGACATGGCCTGTTTCCTCCAAAACATGACTTCTGAATGGTTTCAGAAAATTTCTTTCTGGAAACTTGTAGATCACTCTGGAATGGCCATGTCAGTATGGGTTGGAAAGAGAACCAAAGGTTCTGGAGTTTTCCTGAATATTCCCTCTGCTATAGAATAGACCAAAAAAACTATCATTAAACTTTTTCTAAGTTCAAGGACATATACATGGGTTAGCTCATTTTACATTATTTACACAAAATAATGCTATGAAAGAATGTCTGCCCTACAAGATAAACTAGATTAAGAAACCAATGCCAACCGCTTTTATTATAATAGGTACAGTAACTGAATCTTATAAGTCTGAATGTGCTGAATCCCCTTCCTTTATATTTGTGTGAACTAGGGAGGGGCTTATCAAGTTATTTTCTTAGGCGGGTGTCAAACCGGTCTTAACTGGCTGTTGATTTGTTTAGTAAGTTTTCCAGGACATTTCTTCTGCTGTCTATAAGTAGACAGTAACACACAGGGACATGCAGAAACTATGGACTCATTGTGGATTTGAACATGGATTATTACTATGGTACACTATACAACACAGATATTACACAATATCTGCAATAAAAATCTAACCTCTTTCATGGCTATCTACAATGAAAATGGTCATATCCATTACAACACTATATCATAGTATGATCCAAGGAGCAGTTCATAATCATTGAAGTAAAATTATGCCAAGCATGTTAAATAGGAAGACTTTAAATTAATTATAATACATCTTGACATTTTTTATCGTTCTCTTATATATTTACCACAGGGGATTATTTGGTGACAGTTTGGAATACTTCAGCACATAATTAGAAATACTCTACCCACATACCCTGCAAAAAATAATTATGACAATCTTTGGTAAAGTTTTATGATTTTTTTCAGAATTTCCCCAGACATCATTTAGTAAGAAAATCTGTATTTTATGTTTGCACTACAGAACAATATCCAAGGCTTTTAATGAGATGCAAAGATATAATACTGAAAAAATAGAGTTCAAAAAGAGAAAGAAAGCAACAGAATAATTAAAATCACCATAATAAGAGAGCTCTGGTGGCTCAGCAGACTAATTAACATCCACTTACATCTGCTGCCTGCAATTACTGCAAGTTCAAAGCTCACCAGGCTCAAGGTTGACTCAGCCTTCCATCCTTTCTAAGGTAGGTAAAATGAGGACCCAGATTATGGGGGCAATAAGCTGACTTTGTATAAACATACAAGAGTATAAAGGCTATTGCTTAACGCATTGTAAGCCGCCCTGAGTCTCTGGAGAAGGGCAACATATAAATCAAATTAAAAAAAAAAAATCAAGCCAATCAAAACTGCAGTAGAGATTATATTAAAAAAAATGGCCCACAGAAATCATAGGATGCAGGCAAGATAACATGGGAGAAGATGCAGGTATTGATAGTATAGAGATATCTATATATCCCTCTACGTCTCTAGTTAAAGAAATTGGTTCATACATACACATTGTCTTCTACACATATTTTAGGTCCAACTACGTTGGCTGCTCCACTTGCCATTTTGAAAGCAAAATGATTCGCTGGACATGATTTTGTCGTTCCACATTTATACTTTGGGGGCTTTGTAGCTTTGGGGAAAGAAGGGAATAGATTTTAATTTAAGGAATGCAATAAAAATTCAAATTTAAAAAAGAACAAACAAAAAAGGGGGAAAAAAGATACAATTTCAGACACTGCAAAATAAAGGCAAAGTACATAAAGGTAAAATGCAAGCAAGTTACATATGTTGTTTGAAACTCAGGAAAAGCAGTCCATGCCATAACTATTTGATTCGCAGAATATATTCTGCAACAAAATTGTCTACAATGTATTTACTATTACCTTAGGTTATGTACAGGTGCACAATAACCTTACACTTAACTAGCGGTTATAAAGTTTTATCTTTTTTCCTCAAATATGTCAGTGCATGCATGCACCTCCATTACAGATCCTAGCTTGCACTGAACAGATCGAGCTAACCTGGCATAAAACTGCGACTCAATTTTATCTACTGTATTTATTATATTTCTATAATATCAAAACCTCTATTAGTGCATTGTTTATCATCCAAAAGTGTTTAAACAAATTGCTTTAAGCTTAATCAGCTTAATTTATGCTGCCTGCCTCTTATTAAAATGTATTACGTAAATGCTTTGATTGATCAAAGTCATGATGTGGATGTAATGGCTATTGGCCAATCTGGTGATAACCATTACATGTAAACAAACAAACTGTTAACTTGGAATGTCAGAGAGGAGCAAATAGTAAAATCATGAATTAAACTAGTCTTATGATTTGGGATGAATACATGGAAGTGAAGGAGTAGATTTAATTATGAAAGCGCTGAAATGAATGTCACAAAGAATAAGTCAGTGTTATGTTGGTTGTTGCGGGTTCATATGAAAGTAGGTATCCATAAGTTATGGATAGCTGCATGTTTGATCTAGTGGTTAAGGCACCAGGATAGAAAACAGGAGACCATGAGTTCAAGTGCTGTCTTAGCCATGGAAGCCAGCTGTCACTCTCTCTCAGCCCAAATTACCTCACAGGGTTATTGATGTAGGAAAAGGAGGAGGAGGAGGGAGGATTGCTTTGAGTTATTTATAAAAATAATAAAAGATGGGATATAAATAAAGGGAAAAAATGAATAAATCTTATGTTCTAATGGATGCTAATAAATAAGGAACTAGATATGAATTCTTTAAAGAACTGTGAAATATTCTGAATCCAGAGAAGCAAATTATTCTGTTATGTGACATGCACAGATAAGTGGAAATGAGATGCAAGTAGAGGAAAGAGTTTTGAATGAAAATAATGAGAATAGTGACTTGTGAATCTTTACTAAGAAAGTGATCTGTTTCAAATGCATAAGCATAAGCCTATTTGTAGATACATATAGCAAAGGAACAAATTTAAATAGAAAGCATGGTTGATCTGATCGTTTATGATGAAATATAGGGAATATTAACAAAGGATACACAAGTGATGAATGGTTCAGAATGTGGAAATGGTTGTTTTTTTTTGTAGTGACAAGAAAGTATGCGTAGGAAAATAAAAGTACAAGCAGCCATTGTGAAAGTAGAAAGCCTACAGAAAGAAAAAGTGTGAGTCCAGTATGAAAAAGTATTAGAAGATAGATTACTGTCCCCAAACCAAACGAATGGAAAGAGGAAATAGAAACTTGGAAGGGAGTGAAAAGAAATATGTTACTGATTATTCCCAAAGTGTATGGAGTTAAGCTAAAGGGAAGTATGAAAAGGAACAGTTAATAGAAAGGCGTGAAAAAGACTGGGTGAGAAAAAGAGGCAACGAGGGGAATAACTGAAGAAAAATGAGAATGAGAGAAAGATGTTGTATAATGTGTACTGAGAGAAAGACAGTTGCAAAGAAAGTAGTCAAAGAAAGCAGTGAATGTTAAGATTAAAGGAGGCTGAGAAAATGTTGAACAAAAGGAGTTCTGAAGTGGATGAAGAAGTCCAAAACTACAGCTTCCTGCAAAATGAACAGAAATAAAAACAGAACTGATGAAATGATTCCAAATGAAGCTTACGTGATGGAATGCCAGAAGCATTTTAGAGTGTTATTTGGGAATCAGTGATATGTCAAAGAATGAAGTTGAAAAGTTTAATGCCTTTCACTAAATCCATTTATTTAATGCATTTATGGATAAATGAGTAAGGAAAGCTGGTGGTGATGATGGAGTCACGAACATATGTGTGCTTCGATATACAGACAATCCTACATTGTTGAATGAGAAGCCAATGATTTACAATGAATGTTGGCTCTGCAAAGTAATATCTGAACAATGAATGTATAATGCAATGTACTATCCGAACAATGGATGTGTATCAACACACATGAAATTGTATTTGACAGAGGAAAAGGAACTGTAAGTAATAACAACATGAAAAATCCTAGAGCAAGGATTTGTGTATTTTAGTACATTTGAAGATGAGAAAATGCTTGTAGAAAAGTAGTAAACATTGTCATCTAAAGAATATTTGCTGAAATAATTTTAAAAGGCTATACTGTATATAAGATCCTGCTTGTGTCCACACTTTTGTGTGAAGAGCTGAATATGTCTAGAGAAAAGTAAGTAAGATGAATGCAATCGGAATGGGACACTTAGAAGAAATTACATGAAAGTGGCCAAACAAGAAGAAATAGTGTCAATAATGTAACCCGAATGAATGATGTATGAAAGTATGAAAGAAACAGAGGTGGTTTAGTCAGACGAATAAATGTGGTCTAAATTGCACAATACATAAATGAAGGAAGAGTGAACGGTTAAGAAAACAAGAAAATTGTGGATGAAATTGATAAGAGCCTCAAAACTACAAAAGACACACACACACACACACACACACACACGTAATTTAAGGCAATGTTGAAGAGTATATGGTTGAGGTGGAAGTAAGGGTGATTTTGAATAAATAGAAATGTATGCAGAAATAAAGTGAACATGGCTACTAAAAAAGTATTTAACTACATTTCCTCCTCCCTCCCACCTGTCCCTTATCTCATGGCCTTTAATTTATTTGGTTTCCTATCTTGTAGTACTTTGCAAAACTTCATAGATTCAATCTGAAGGTTCAATCAAAATCTAAGCAGGCTTTCAGACTGAATGAAGATTTGCTCTAATGCTCAAAATTGTATCAGGAAGCTACAAAGCACTTCACAGATTTACAAACCACTTTTTTAGATTTCAGGCTTTTTTTCTGTTTCTGATTTTTTACAGGCTTTACACAATATTCCAAGTTCACTTCCACAGATGGAAAACACTGGAAGGAACATGAGGAGTGCTGTGAACAGCGCTTGACATGACTAGTAACCTAATATATTTAATCATCTAATTAAATTCGCTGCCTCTGAGAACTCTTTTAGGACCGGAAGAGTGACATTACTCAAGCTTCATTCATTTATTCAGCTTTCAGTTTCTTTAAGGTGGCCAACTAGACACTTGGACTTTACTCTTATGCTAATTTAATTTTACATTTCTAGGCTGGTTCAGCCAACACAATAGAAGCTCAACTCTGCAGTTGGACTACAGGTTCAAAACTAACCATTCCAATAAATATTCTTGGCTCAAATCAGTAAGATCTCTTGGGAACAAGTCTTACTTTTAAATTCTGCATATAGGTAATCCTTGACTTAAAACCTTAATGGAGCTTGCTCGTTAAGTCATATGTCATGATGGTCATAAAGTGGGTCACCCACATGACCAACCCAATTTTACAACCTTTTGTGGTGGTTGTTAAGGGAATACTATAACCAAAAATGCTGGTTTTTAGCAAAAACATAAAATGCGATTCACGGATGCTGCAAACAGCCATAAATGCAGGCAGGTTGTCAAGGGCCCAAAATGCAGTCATGTGACTGGGAGGAGGGCAGATGTGAAAACATTGGAACTTAAACATAACTAGGGAAGCCCACCATAACTTCAAACAGTCACTAAGTGACAGGTTGTAGACTACATACTACTCTGGCAGGTGTAGGCCTCCATTAAGAGTGAATAGGTATCAAATAAACACATACAGAGCTGGCCCAAATGGAGAGTTGGTAAAACTGAAAACATTTATATTTCCATTGCAGTATGAACCTCTGAATTTCTACAACCCTTATGTCAGGATGTTCAATCTGTCTTGGTTAAGAAGGTTTATGTATTCATTTAATTCAGTGGTGGGATTAAAATAATTTAACAACCGGTTCACCAAGGGTCAGGTTGGCTGTCGTGGGGGGTATGGCCCATCACTGTCTTCCAGCTCCGCCACACATGCAGGACGAGCCTCCCCCGATGGTCAACTTGATCCTGGGCGAACCAGTTGTTAAATTATCCCCCCCCCCCGCTATCAAAGTGGATCCTGGGCGCTGCAATGGAGAAATGGGAAACGGAGCGCCAACACAATGGAAGGAGGAAGACTATGGAGAAGAAAGAGGGAAAGCGGCCTTCTCCTTCCACTGGGCCGGCCACTCTGTTGCCTGTTTCTCCATTGCAGCACAGTGCAGCACCCAGGATCCACCTTGATAGCAGGGGAGGGGAATAATTTAACAACTGGATCACCCAAACTGGTGCAAACTGGCTGAATCCCACCACTGATTTAATTTATTTCCTCCACTTTTAGTGAATCTGTACAATGGACTAATCAGGGGTGAAATGCTCCCGGTTCGGACTGGCTCAGGCGAGTAGGTAGCGATGGCGACGGGCAGTTCGGAGAACCAGTAGCAAAAATCCCTGCCCACGCCCCCCCCCATGCCCAGCTGAGCCGCGCGATCATCAGAGGATTTTTTTCTTTTAAATGCCTCTGAGAGCCAAGCTCTGACGATCCAAGCTCTGACAATCCCAGCTGAGTTGCCTGATCAGCAGAGGGTTTTTTAAAAACCCTCTGATGATCAGGCAACTCAGCTGGGATCGTCAGAGCCTTTTGAAAGCATTGTTTTACATGGTTTTACAAATGTAAAAAATGGTTTTAAAAGTAAAAAAAATTGGCCATGCCCATCCAGCCACATTACTACCCCCCCCTCACCAAGCCACGCCCACAGAACCGATAGTAACAAATTTTAGATTTTACCACTGGGACTAATGGTCCCACTTCTGTGGATTTAATGATAAACTTTGACAAGTAGAGGATTAAAAAATCAACTCCTTTGACAATTTTCAAACAAAGTGACTTCCTCTAGACCAGAGTTCCCCAACCTTTCTGAGTTGGTGGCCAGAGCGGTGGGGGAGAGGGGAAAGAGGGGATGGTTTTGTGGGAGAGGCAGGCGCATGCACATGCACCAGCAACCATTGCTTGTGTGAGTGGGGCTGCACACGCTCACACGAGTGGGCCATGAGCATCTGTGATGCTTATGCGAGTGAGGCCTAAGCGCGACCACCTGCAATGCTTGCGCAAGTGAAGCACCAAGTGCCTGTGATGTTCACGCAAGTGGGGCACTGAGCCTTACACAAGGGGGCTGTGTGCACACATGCACACTTGTGCACCAGCCAGCCACTCACACTGCCCCACAGGTTGGGGACTCCTGCTCTAGACCAAAGGGAAAATGTCATATTTTCAGCAAATTATTTTTGGTGGCATGAATCTGAAAGTCAGTATCTCCTTGCCTACGTCTTCACACTCTTCAATCTTCAAAAAGAAATGAACTCAAATCAAAATAAATAAACATTTAAATGAATGAGAGTCATGATTTAAAAAAAATCTTTATCAAAGAATAAGCACTGAAGAAGGTAAAGCTTTCTAAATCTATACCTGTGTCTCTTGAACTGCTGACTTTTTATTTGTCTCTTACTAGGAAGCTCTTAGACAACCTGAATTCTGAGGAATTTCACAAGTCTTTCCCTTCAAAATCAGCACCAGCCTTGCATAGCTCACTAAGACATCCTTACTGTACTGGATATCACTAATTGATCTTAATTATGATGCATTAAAAATACCAATAAGTAACAACTGTAGTGCAGAATACTCACTTCGCAATGGTGCGTCCAGTGCTGATCTTGCTAGAAAAATTAACATTGAAATACACATTAGAAAAACTTTTCTCTTAATTATGCTTTTTATGGAATTGTATGTTATAATTCCTAGCTCACCAAATTAAGATTTGAAATTTATAGTTTATCATTCTATTTGATGATACAGTTACCAACTGTACAGTAACATTTTGGTGCAATTGACTACAATATTATGGTGTACCAGAGAACGTCATTACAGAATATATACCATGAATATATACCATATACCACACACATAGTATGCACTAATTAGTCATATAGTAAATCTTTAGTTTAAAAGTTCTCAGTTTGGTGGACTTCAGATACAATGACCATTTTCTTCATTTGTGTTTCCCCCTCATTTTAATGGCCTTTAACCTGGATGGTTTGATTGTTAAATCAATGCATTATTGCAAATGATGCCATTTACGTCAATTTTGTAATTACACCAATGTTATAAATTGTATTTAAGGGACATCACCTTCTCTCAAAACATCACATCAATTATTTACTGTAAATAAATCAGAAGGGGATATAAAAAAAACAACACTTTTTTACTCCATATAATTTAAAACTACCATAATCATCTTGACAAATCTTATGACAGAAATGGAATTCTGAACTGAAAGCATAACCAAAATATATGAAGTCTACTTTTGTCTACAAACCGTAACTGATCTATCTGTGAGTAAGTCTCACTAATAGGATTATGTTTGAGAACACTAGTATATGACTGCATTGTGCTTAAATTATACAATTCTGTGTGAAAATAACTTAAATAGGTCACTTACCAAAAAGATTTCCTAAACTGGCGTCCATTTTTATTTCAAATACTTGAGCTATGACATAAAACATCAGCAAGAACACAGCCACTGCTATTACCAACTTTGCTGCTCCTAATTTAAACAGAACAAAAGGAAGCCGCTGAACAACTGTCTAATATAATAAGATATCCCCACCACTACTACAATAATACTGGGAATATAGCAATGTCAAAATAACGCAATGCAAATGTTTTATGAAACAAATATTTTGATGCAGAATCTCTTGTTAATTTGATTGGAAGCAAATTATAGGACTTTAACTGCATAAATATATGATTTAGAAATTATAGCAGTGAGAACAGATGTGAATTTTTTTTTTCATTTAACAGAAACAAATTCTTGCTTTTATTTCATGTGTATTTTACAACGATTACAGAAAAACAAAGGTCCTCGGGTTTTTTTATAAAAAAATAATGGGAGGGGATTATAGATGATCATTCTTCATTCTATTTTTCTCACATTCATTAAGAAAATTTTTGAAACGTTTGCTTATTTTTTTTAATGGTCACATTATCTAAAATGGCATACAATATGTCTTCATAATTTCAGTAAATGCTACTTTGGTACAGAAGTAACTGAACCATTCATAAAATGGTTCACAAAACATGAACAGGCTTCAGGTTCACATTTTCCCATTTTTTGTCTGTTTCATTTTGTCATTTGTTGTGAGCTCTAATGAAGCAAACTGCAGCTACTACAAATCCATTACTTGTTCCATGCATGAGCTAGAAAATCAATTCTATATTTCAGGTTGCATCCAATTGGTCATCAGATGTCAAATGAACAGTAACTTCAAAACAGACATCTATGGGTGTAGAAGGGAATATATAATGCCCAAAGCTACTTTTTAATGATTCAGCTATGACAAGAATAGGATGAAACTCCTGGCTTACCAAACATTTGCCAAATATATGTTCACACTTTTCCCATAGCAACTAGTACAAAAAAATAGCTTTTACCATTCAAAGTTAAATATTAGACATGCAGTTGTATTTTCTTGTTTTTTTTTTTCTGAAGATGTCATTGCCCTTAAAAGTCTTACAGACTGCATGATGCCTAATTGTGAATACAAACTCTAGTCACCAAAGAGTCTCAATAAAAGTGGGATTTTTGTGATGTGATCCCAAAATCCATGGAAAAGCAGTTAGTGGAAACATACCCATCCACATGTCCATAATGCCGCCTTCCAATTTAACATAGGCATTCTAAGTTATTATATCTTAGAGCAGCATAGAAATACTTGTGACCTTGTATTGTGTAGTAATTAAGGCACCAGGCTAGAATCTGGGAGATTGGGAGTTCCAGTTCTGCCTTTAGGCATAAAACCAACTGGGTGACTAGATAGGGATAAGCTATTTAAAGGTTATTTAAATTTTAAAGCAATTCAAATGTCTTAGAATTATGCATCCTAAAATACAAGTAATATGGTAGTTCTGGAGTTATAATTCTATAGATAAGAACTATGAATGAACCATGTTTTGCTCCATCTCCAGAACAAAACAGTCTGCTTCATTTTGGATGGCTAAAATGCATGTCTGGGTACAAACTTCCCAAAAGCACCTATTCCTTGTGCAGAACGATTCGTGTAAAAACTTGTTTCTTTGAAATTTTACTTCAGTCCATAAAAACTTGGGGATTCACTGCAGCACACACATCTTCATTAATGTATTCAATGAAAGTGTGGAAATTTAAGAAATAAATAGGTAAATAAATAAGAAGGAAATAAAGCTAACTAGATATTTTTTCTTTAACCTGTATAAATTAAACATGTTATCTGTAACAATCGTAATATTAATTGTCCTTGCCTAGCAGCCTTCCTTCCTATTACCTTCCCTTCTTTGCAGCCAAGAGAAAACCTGCTGCTTCATCTAGAACAGGGGTGTCAAACTCACGGCCCGGGGGGCCGGATCCGACCCACAGGGTACTTAGATATGGCCCACAGGGCCACTCTAGAAACAGCAAAGGACCAGCCAGTGGTGCCTCTGCCAGAGAAAATGGAGCCCCTTCCAGGCTCCATTTTCAGCTGTGACAGCCTCCTGCCGCCCTCGGCCAGTGAAAATGGAGCTTGGGGGGGGGACCTTCCCCGAGCTCCATTTTCACTGGTAGAGGGCGGCAGGGGCCTTCGCAGCTGAAAATGGACCTCTGGAGCCTGTTTTCTCTGGCAGAGCACTTGGGCCACCACAGACACCCCCGACATGAGTGACATCAAGTTGGCCATGCCCACCCTGACCATGCCCACCCCGGGCCCCGAGGTCAAACACAACCCTGATGCGGCCTTCAATGAATTCGAGTTTGACACCCCTGATCTAGAAAATAGAAAGTTTGAAAGGAGAGACTTTCCTCTCTAGGACTGGAAGGAGTCTTAAGCCTTGACTTCTAGTCCTTTCCATTCAGTTCCCTCTGAATTGAATAGGAAAAGAAATTCAGTTCCATTTCTTACCTCCAGATTAGGGTATTTTTTAACTCTAACATGTTAGATATAAATGTAGCATGAAACTGCAAGATACTTTTTATTTTGTTAAACTGCTGCCAATCATGCATTAGGTGATATATATTTCCCAATTTTTTTTTGAGTAATCTGTATATTAATAATAATATTTAGCTTAAAAATTCTTCCAGGCTAGACTTGATAAGGAAACAAATTGCCATGTCATTACATAAAATATTTTCCACCACTAATCATTTTTCCTGCCTAAGAAATACTAGCATCATAATTGTACACTATATACTCTCTCTCTCGCTCTCGCTCTCTCTGCATGTGTGTGTGTGTGTGTGTGTGTGTGTGTGTGTGTGTGTGTGTGTAGTTCCAAGTCAATTATAAGAATTTAGGACCAAAATAATTTCTAATTGCTCTTATTCTAATTGCGCTGGAAAATGGTGAAGTGATATGATACAGTTCAAACTACGTTTAAATTAAATTTGATATGAGTTTAAACACAACAGACACTTGTTAAACTATCACAAGACAATCAATCTAAATGGGAGTCCATTATCTCAAACTTTAAAGCTTCACTGGAATGTGGATTTCAGATAAATAGAACCAGTAAAACTTCTTTTTCATCATCCATCATAATTACAGGTTAGAAATACTCACTTGACTCAAATGAATTACTCTTTTCCGAAGTTTTTTTTTTTTAAAGTTATAATTCTTACCTGCTATTCTCATGTTTATCTTCCCTCCGTTACTGGCACAATTGCATTTAACCAGCTACCTGGAGAATAAGGAAAAACAGCTTTCAATCAAAAGAGTATAAGCAAGGAGATGCTTTGATTCATTCATTCCTCTGAAAAAGTCTGTATTCTCTAAGATACAATGATAATAGCAATGATATCATAATCTCTATACCCAGAATATGCAAGGAAAATAAAAGACAACGATACTTCAAGGGTTAACTAGACCTTTTAATTTTGATATATATTTTCATCCCATAAACATACTTTTTGTTTCATTTTTTTAATAGAACGTTAAAAACAGAAACTACAGGTAATACTTGACTTACAACAGTTCATTTAGCAAATGTTTGAAGTTACAACAGCACTAAAAAAAAATGACTTACAATCAATCCTTGCACTTACAACCGTCGCATTCCTAATGTGATCAAAATTTGGTGTATATATATATATATATTTTCGCGGGTGTTTGTATGTAGGTCTTTGGTTATTCGGGTCTTCTCCCACGTAAAATTGGAAGTGTCTTGGCGACGTTTCGACGAAGTCTCATTCGTCATCTTCAGGCTGGTGTTCTCGGCTTCGTGCTTCCAGGAGCAATGTGAGATCGCAGCTGTCTCTTCCTTTTAACTGCTAGTGGGGGTGTGAGCTGATTGGGTGGGAACTTGGCTGTGTTCTGATTGGGTGGAGGTGTGTTCTGATTGGTTAGGGGCTTGGCTGTGCTCTGATTGGATGGGGGGTTGGTTGTGCTCTGATTGGCTGGGGGTGTGTTCTGTTTGGGTGGGGGCTTGGTTGTGCTCAGCTTAGTCTGAGTTGCAGGGGGATTTGAGCTGGTGAGCTGCGTTGTTGCTGTTTGGCTTCGTGTTTGTGGCCGTGCGGGCTCTTCATGGTGGGTGTCAGTCTGCTTCATGTATGGATTGGAGGGGTTTAAAGTGGCTAATGATGCAGGTCTGGCTTCTGGTCCTTGGTCGTGGCTCATTATCAGTGTGGGTTTGAGTCTGCTTTCTGCGTGGATGTGTGGTGGTGACGTCCTGTGTGGCTCTCGTGAGTGTGGGTCTGGTGTCATTCGTCGTGTTAGGGACTCGTTTGTCAATAAGGGCGGGTTTCCAAATGGCTGGTAGGCGGGAGGTATCGTCTCGTTTGTTCATGCTGTGTGGGCGTTTTTCTATCTCGATGGCTTCTCTGATTATTCTGTTGTTAAAGTGTTCTGTTTTGGCGATAGTTCTGGTCTTTTTAAAGTCAATATCATGTCCTGTGGCTTTAAGGTGTTGGACCAAGGAAGAAGTTGGTTCCTCTTTTCTGACTGAGTTCTTGTGTTCTTCTATGCGTGCACTTATTCGTCTGTTGGTTTGTCCGATGTATGTGGTGGGGCAGGCAGTGCATGGGATTTCATATACTCCTTGATTTTCTAACTCAATTTTGTCTTTGGGGTTCCTTAGGATGGTGGATATTTTTCGGTTTGTGCAGAATGCTGTCTTGATGTTATGTTTGTGGAGGATTTTGCTTATTCTGTCTGTGGTGCCTTTTATGTATGGGAGGAGGGCTTTGCCGTTTTCTTGTTCTCTGTCTTGGATTTTAGTGGGGGTTTCTTTTTGGATTAGGTTGGTGATCTTATTTCTTTGGAATCCATTGGATGTTAGTACTTTAGTGAGAGTGTGTAGTTCGGTTTTTAGGTGTTGTTCGTCAGCTAAGCGTTTTGTTCTGGAAATGAGTGTCTTGGCTACAGAGTTGATCTGGGCAGGGTGGTGGTGTGAGACTGCGTGCAGATAGCGGTTTGTGTGTGTTTTCTTCTGGTAGATAGTGTGTCCTAGGGAGCCACTGGATTTTCTGTAGACTAAGACATCCAGGAAGGAAGTTGGTTGTTCGCTTCTGTTTCCATGGTGAGCTGTATTTTGGGGTGTAGGCTGTTGAGGTGTGTGAGGAAGTTGTCCAGTTTTTCTTTCCCATGTGGCCAGATTATGAAGGTGTCGTCTACATATCTGAGCCAGAGTTTGGGTTTGTGATCAGATTTTTCTAGAGCTTGGGTTTCAAAGTATTCCATATAGAGGTTGGCAATGACAGGTGAGAGGGGTGATCCCATGGGTGCTCCTTCTATTTGTTTGTATTTCTGTCCATTATAGATGAAGTATGTGTTGGATAGGCAGTGGTTGGTCAGATCTAAGATGTGCTTGGGGGGGTTATATTTGTTTTGGATAACTGTCAAGGCCTCTTCACCCAAGTACCAATCAAAGGCCATAAAATTTGGCACAATTCACATAATAACCACCTTGCTTAGCAACAGAAACTCTGGTCTCTAAACACAGCTATGATATTTTATTTCTACCTTAGTGGAATCATGAATATACACTATGTATTTTCCTGTATCACTCAGTTGCAAACTGACGCATATGGTATAAATTAAGAAACAGCAAGTATACTATGTTCATTTGCACATAATCAACTACAATTTTACTCTGAAAGAATGATAATTATACTATCCAAGAAATCAAGAAAATGCAGAGGATTGCATAACTAGTTTGCAAACTAAAATTCTTTAATCAGCTTTCAGTTCTCAAAGATTTTCCAAAAACAACTGAAGAAATGTCACATGGTATACTTAATAAAAAAAACTAAAATGGGGACAATATGCCACTGAATATGCTCTTTGATTCATTATTTATACAGTGCAATAATTGTTTTATCAGTTAGAAAGAGGAAAAGCTAAATGGTTTCCAGCTAAGGACAGTTTGCAACATTTATGAATATTTCCTAGGTCAAGTTACACAAAGTTCAAAATAGAAGATGAAAAGTAGAAGACATTAATAATCGTTACTTGGCGCTCCCAACTATTTCTTGATACTCAAAGCAAAGCATTGGGTTAAAAGCCAGAATCCAAGCATTAGAATCCATTCATATACATTTGAAATACAGCAAACCTCAAAATCTAAAGACTCTAAACCAACTTGGAATAATTCTTGTTACAAATATATATTACAACCTGGAATCAGCTTTAGATAAACCATTTCTTTCCCAATGAATACGTGAAGTTCTAACAGTTTCCCTCCTTCCTAATAATTTAGTTGTCTATATTACTTGGGAATATAACTTTTATAGATTTAATTTCATTTTTTCTTTCCTCTACATATTATTGTCACAAATATATTTGGAGGTGCTTGGAATATTTAATATTGGTTAAATTAAAAATAACTAAAGTATTAGGAATTTTATACACCAGATTCCACATACAGTACAACTCTAAATTATCTTATTTATCTAATCTTTTCAAGATATTCAGTATATAATCTAATTCAAATATGGACAACATTTAATCTTCAGTTGCATGAAAACCCTTATTAAAAACCTCAATTTTTGAAGTATTTCAAATATATGAATCAATCTAAGAACACGTAATAAGTAAGTCTGGTAAAATCCGCACAGCTGCGGTATTGGCAATCATTTGTTTTTTAGGCTTGTATCATATCTTTAGCAAATATTTATTCTACGGTATTTATCATATAATGCAGTAGTGCGTGAAGCATAATACATCCAATGCTTTCCTTTGAACTTTCACTCTGAACTTCTTGCTACAAAAAGAACAGCAGAGGCCTTTAGTACGTTGATCTACCTACAGCAGTTCTAAAGTGCAAACCACATCTGTAGGTTCACAGAATCCTCATCCCTGATAGAACCACCTTCGTTTTAGCTGTGGGTGCCACCAAGAGAGCCAAGATGGATGCACACAACATAGCACAAACCCACTGATTTTTTTCTCCACTGATGTTTCCCAAGTGTCTTGGGTTGTTAAAAAAAATAATTAAAAGAAAAGAAAGAAATATCTTCTTTAAACTGATCATCATTGTGATCGGTCACAATAGACTGATGGTAGATGGACAGGATTCCTATGAATTCTTAAGGACCATTTTATGTGTTCCTTGGCCAGAAAAAAACCCAGGTTGGTTCCTTAATTAGTTCCTATCCATTGCTTCTTGTTCTGCCTTAGGTGCTTTGGAAAATAAGTTGACTCCCTCTTCTTTGTGGCAGCCCCTTAGTTATTGGAACACTGCTATCAAAATAAGAGTGAAGACAAATGCTGAAAGATGAGATGTGGCTACATTAAGAAAGTGGACAGTATAGATCACATAAGTCAATCAGTTTATCTGTGATAAGATTTGTTTTATCTGGCTCAATAGTGCAAATCCATCCATGAATAACTAACCAATGTAGGAAATTAACAACTCTGTTTTAAAGGGTTCTTAGGGTTACACATAATGTAACAATTGTCTGAACTGGCTAAACTGCAAATACAAGAATAAACCTTACAAGGTTGCACAAACAAGTGTCTGACAAGTGAAATTGGTACATTGATATGAACAGAAAGCACACAAGCTCAAGACTTATTCCATACTGAACCAGATGTAACTGTTATTATCCAGGAGTCTTATAAATTATGCTAGACTGTGAAGTGAACATTTGATTAAAGTCATAATATAAAACAGGATAAGCCACCACTGAAAACAAAATATTAACAGATCATTTTCTGTATTTTATGAATGGCATAAAAACACAAACATATACTGGCAATGATAACTGCCATCCTTAAAAAGTATCTGTAACTACAGTATATAAAATGTTGAAGTTTAAGGAATACAACACATCAGAAGAAATATATGTTTAGCAGCGGATGTAATAAGAGTTACATCATAAGACTTCGTCTTTCCCATAGGAAAAAATGTCTTAATTGCTGATGCAGGTGGAAGGAAGTATGCAGGCAATATGTAGGGCATGAGCAGCAGAAATGCCCTTAATTGATCAAAACAAGGATGCACAGTGAAGCTTTTGCAGCCCAACAGAGAATTAACAAGTCAGGTTTCAGTATGTGGCACCATTAGTTTGCACATGAAATCACAACTGTGCTCGAAACATTCAATGACGCATATTCTTTTCAAAATTATACTTGCTAACTATACCTACTTCTTGGTATAGTATTTAACAGATCAGTAACAGTGCACCAGAGAGTAAGTATCATGGAAATCTGACTGAATTTATAAACCTTAAGTGTGGAAAGAATAGAAAATGAAAAAAGACAAAACTTTAAGCCAGGGATGTCAAACTCAAGGCCCGGGGGCCAGATCCAGCCCATGAGGTGCTTAGATCTGGCCCGCGGGGCTGCCCAGGAAACAACAAAGGACCGGCCTGCAGTGCCTCTGCCAGTGAAAATGGAGCTTGGGAGGGTGGCCCTCCTGAGCTCCATTTTCACTGGCAGAGGGTTGCAGGAGGCCGTCACAGCCGGAAACAGAGCTTGAGAGCCCATTTTTGCTGGCAGAGTGCTCAGGCCAATGCAGGCGCCCCCAACGTGAGTGACGTTGAGCTGGCCACACTCACTTTGGCCACCACCCCCAAAGGTCAAACCCAACCCTGATGTGGCCCTCAATGAAGTTTGACACCCCTGCTCTAAGTCATAGTTTTCTCATAAGTTTGAAAGTTCAAACACTACTTGGATTAGTATAAATCTATTTCTACCACTGACCCACGTCCCATTATTATACAGAACAGCCATGATAAGAGCCACCGTCTTCTCTATTTCACTTGATGACATTAAGCTGTTCTTAAAACATTAGCAAATGTTTACTACCACCTACACCTTTTATACAATCCAACTTAACCTTTCTTTTCTTCCATTCAATTGTACCTGATTCTCAGAGTCTGCCTGGACAAGTTCATACAGTTTTCTTGTTAAGGTTTTCAGAAGTGGTTTGCCATAGCCTCCTTCCTAGGACTAAGAGAAAGTGACTGGTCCAAGGTCTCCCGCTGGCTTGGTGTCTACACAAAACTGGACTCAGTCTCCCAATTTCTAGCCTGATGCCTTAACCACTACACCAAACCGGCTATCTTACCCTAACCTGTTGAATAAAACCCTATATTTAACTTCTATTGTGTTCCAGAGTAACTTCAAGATATGCCAAGAAAGCATCTATATGCAGGGCATTAACATAATTGCAGTCTCCTGTTCATGGTCTCTAACTTCTGGCACTGAGACATGACAACTCTAATTATGATGTAAATGTACAGTCATCACAATTATTACCATCCAATATTACCTTTCTCTCTCATATTATTATAGATCTGAAATTCTGAAAGACAGACTGAGGTAGAAAGGCAGTTAATATTTATGATTAAATGAAGAGTGAAGCAAAGCATGAATGCTCACAATCTATCTTTCTGTATGCCAAATTAGATGCAGTTTCTCTAATTCTTCTGAAAAAGAAAGGTTACTCACATAAGTGTGCTGTGTCGAACACCCATCTTGAATGCTTTGTGGGCCCAAACTGAACTCCTTGAACTCAGACTGATCATGCAATCAGAGTCACTTAATTTTTCCATATGTGGGAACGGGATCTAACTTTTGAGAGTCTGCACTCAGTTTGTACCTACTCTGGAATCAGTTTCCCCTTGAACAACCACTGGAGCCCGATCTCATGAAGCTGAAAATCCTTCTTTTTCCACACTGTACTGCAGCACCGAATATAAGGTTTAATTATGGTAGTGTTTAGATGTTTAACTGATATATAAATGGCTGTACATAGAAAACAATTTGTTTGTATTGTTATAATTGTTTGCTTGTACTGAGCACTTGCCAGTAAATAAAAATATTACTACTGCTGCTCGCATATTAAAAGTCATATAAGTAATCATAGAAAAATTTGAGAAAGTCAATGTGGTGCATGATATTGGTGTAGGAATGGAGACATCCATAGTCTAGTCTTTCCTGAGGCACACAAGCCAGCTGGACTGCTCCCTCCCTTTCTGCCCTAATTGGTGTCAGGTTCTACAGCAAGGAGCCTGGTAACACCTCCCCCCATCACACATGAATAGCTTTGTTGTAAGAACTAGAGTAGTATTAAACAAAGCAAGCACTAAGACCAACATATACTTGTGATCCTCCAAAAACTGTAGCATTTTGAGAATATTATACAATATATATAAAACTGCATTTTAGATATTATTTTTATCAGCTGCAAGACAAAAAATGTCTATATATAGGCTTGTCATTATTATGATTATCATTAGTGAGTACTGTACCAAAGGACGCAGATTATCATCAGTAACTCAGAATGGCCATTTTCCATCTGGCCATTCTGACTTATGGTACAACTCTAAGAATAAAAAAGCTCTTTTCTATACAATCTGAGGGGAATATGAAATTGCACCCACATTTTATCGATAAATAATTCCAAAAAAACCATCATCATCATCAAGTTTCACACATTTAGTTCTTCCAAATGCTAAGGATCTGAATCTTGAAATTAAATGTAATTTTGGAAGTGACATTTAAAAATGAAAGGATCATTGGAAGAAAGGAACAAAGCTCTGCAAACGACTTGTCACACCATAAATTGGTGGAAAATTGGGTCAATATGATACTTTTGATCTACCAGGAACTGTGAAAAAAACTAACAACAAATGGCACATAAACAGATATGGCTGTATTGTTATCAGTATGTGTTTCTTTGAAGATGAAGCAACGTGAGGGTTTAAATCATCAAATATTCTTAAAACCTTCAGGTATTAAAATTTCCTATTACTCACTCTAATGATTATGGCTTTATTCAGACATACAAGCAATTCTGAGAACAATCACCACTGGTGATTGGTCAAGCAACATTCTTCAATCTGATGTCTTCCAGGTATTTTAACTTGTATTTCCCCATATCCCTACTCACTGTCTATGCTGGTATTCTTCAAATGGCAAATGCTTCCTTCTTTCTCTATTTCAACTCAAGGTCATGTGCAATCATGCGCTAATCAATATTAGAGCAATGAAAAAAATATTTTAAAAAAGCACCTTCTTCAAAGAAAATCTTGTAGTCAAGACTTGAATATACCCATCCAAACTGCACAATGGCTACTCTCAAAAATGTTATGGCAAACATGGAAAAAATCTGTACAAATTAAACAATTATTCTATTTAACATATTTCCTTCTGCTAACAAGAAAGGAAACTACATGAAATGTTCAAGGTGTTACTTGTACAAATCTGCTCCATCCTCTGTTCTTCCAAATACTTTCACATAATCTTCTGTCTTTAATGTCAAGAAGTTTCAGTGAAAGAAAAAAAATTGTTCAGTTGCTTGTTGCTTAAGTGCCAAATATGAATTTACATGCCTGCAATCATATAATTGTTCATAGGTTCAGTGCAGAACAAGAGCTAAAAAAGCAATACAAGTTTTTTTGTTCCAAAACTTCCTGTACAGGGTTATATGTTTAATTTCATAATAGGAATGACAAAAGAGGACCTACAGAATAAGGAATACAAAGAATCATAGCCATCTGTCTATGGAGATTCTCAGTCATCCAGGTCATGATTGTCCCAAAGGTGCTTTTTCAAGAGGTAACTGGACTTTCTTGTTTTTCTTTGAAGACGTTTCAATGATTTTTTTCTTGTAACTGCTGGTGGGGTCTCTCTTCAGAATCTCATACATAGCAGTGTCCTTCAGAAAATCGTCCACCTTGACCTTGTAGTCATCTGTGTTCAGGATGACTGTGCATCTTCCTTTATCAGCTGGCAGGATGTTGATGTTTGGGTCTCGTCCTAGGGATGTCACTACTCTCCTTTCTTGAATTGTGAGGCTGGAAGGGGGTGTTTTGGCACTGGCAAGGGGTTCCGGTACCTTCATCCTTAATTGTTCTGCTTCTGGTTCTGCCACTTATTGTTCCTGATGGCTGATTCTGTGGCTGTGAGAAGATCTACAGTTGGTAGCTATTCTGGTGTTACTGCAAAATTCAGTCCTTTGGCCAAAATATTATTTTCTGTTTGGGTAGGCTTTCTGTCAGACAGATTTCTCACCTATCAGTCAGTTTTCTGAAACATGTCACCGTCCATCTGGGTCAGTTTTTCTGTTTTGTGTGTTTTTCCTGTCTAGGGAAAACTTGAGTAGAAAAATTGCATTTTGGTCATTCTTTGCTCTTGTTGTGCTGGGTTAGTTGTGCCTTCTTTTGTTGTGGCCCGCCAGCGGCCTGCACGGATCGTGACTGATCCCGATGACGAGGAGACTGGTGTGGTGTTGCGCCAGCAGCCGGCACAGCCGGCGCTCGCGTCGGACAGCGAGGAGGCTGAAGAGGATGTGGTGCCAGAGGCAGAGACTCAGCCAGGGCCTTCAGAACCTCCAGAGGCTCCTTCAAGTGGAGATAACGAAGTGGTGGAGCCTCTCCTCAATGCTTGAGCATGCAGGGCTGCCAAAAGGCAGGAGTGGCTACTCAGGAGGAGGAAGTCTCGAGAGTAAGGCTTGAGGATAATTGGCCACTCCCTTAGCCTATTTAAGTCACACGCTGTTAGTAAGTTTCTTGCTAGAAACAACTTGTAATTATCATCAGAGCATTTTTGGAAAAGTCTTATCTTGTTTTCTGGGCTGGTTACCAACCTTTGCCGGACTTTGGTTTATTCTTGTTACTTAATAAATTTGATAAGGACCGTTGGTGTGTGTCAATATCCTCGGGAATCCGGAGCTGGGGCAGAACATCTTTATAAATTCTGTGACTTCCATGTATTGTTGAGGTTGAAGCTGAAGTAGTCATTGACAAGTAGGACGTTGTAGCAGACAATTTTGTGTACTATGCTGTTGGTAGAAATGATTTCAGCTTTCAATTACCTTTTTCTTGCAACTTCTGGTGGGGTCTCTCTTCAGAGTCTCATATGTAGGAGTGTCCTTCAGAAGATTGTTCACCTTGGCCTTCAGAGCTGAAGAAGCTTCTTCGATGAGAAGCAAAACGTCTTCAAAGAAAAATCAGAAAGACCGGTGGCCTCTTGAAAAACCACCTTTGGGGTAATCATGGCTATCACATTACACTTTGTAAGAGTTCCAAGACACAAAAAGATCCATGCAAAATACACATTGTAGATTAGTATAAGGATTCTGAATCAATTGTTTTGCAATTAATTATTTCAGTGACTTAATATTAAGATACATATATTACAAAAAATACATGTCAAGTGATACATTATTTGTTATAATTATGTTATTTATTTAAAAAGTGACATTTTCATCAAGTGTGAAACAGGAAAAGAGTAGCCCTCTCATCCAAAAATCTGTGGGAGCATCTCTGAAAAATTCTAAAGTGTTAATGCAATGGCATGGTACAAAAGATATCATTTTCCAAATGCCAAATGTAAATTAAATGCTTCTTTTTGGTGCCACGCACCAAAATTTAAAGGGCCACAAAAGGAGGTTATAAAGCTAGAAGTTAGGCCAGGCCATTACCCAATTCCTTCATAACCACGTAAAAGGGCTTGCTGATTACTCATGGTTTAGGAATCTGTCATCCATCTAATCTGGCCCTATGACCTTAACAGGTCTATAAATTTTAATGGCTGTAGACAAAGTATTAGCAATATATGCAGAATTGCCCAAGAGACAATTTCTTAAAGGAACAGACATTCCTCCCTCCCTCCCCCCAATACTGAAACACTTCAAATACCTTGTGGCAGAAGAAAGGGGCAGGACAAATATAAGTGGCTGGCACAGCTTAAGAAAATAAAAGAAATAAAACCATGGAATATATACCTTCCCAACCCTGTGACCTTTAACAAGGTTGCAGTTAAGGGTCAAGCATTCAGTTCCACTCTTTAGGCTGGAAAAAATTCTGCCTGACAGCAAGAGCAGCCACTACTAGTCAGCATTAAGAGTAAAGGTTAGGTAAACCAAGGTCTAACTTGTTCTAAGGCAGTCTTTATGGTTTCGGGAGTATCAGATGGCCAACCTCAACAGGAGCTGAAGTCTGGTGAAGGATAAGAAAGAAACAAGACAATGATGGGAAAAAGTGAGATACAGAAGTTACAATGTACACAGG